TGTACTTCTGGCTGATTCAGGTTTTTTTTTTTTTTTTGCAGCTCTATGGTTCTATGTACCAGTTGGTGTATCATAAAAAAAATGAACAGTGTGTACTTACCCAGGACAACATAAAGCTTAAAGCTGTAGCAAAGAATACAATTATTTAATTTATTTATAAACCAAAAACAAAAGTAAAATAATAGGCAAAAATAAATATGAAAGCTTATATTGCTCTGTCAATGGTCTTCTATATGAAAGACAACTGAACCAAATTTTAGCTTGCATTGATACATATTAGAACATATCCAATCCGAGATGCATTTACTGTTTCTGACCTACCGGACATATATCAATGAGCAGTAGTAACAAATCATTTTGCAGGATGATTTACAACTGAACTGAAGGATGTATAACTTCCTCTTTCCATTTCTTTTAATGTACATGGATACATTTATTCTCTTCCAATACTAAAATATTTTTCTGCCACTAACATGGTGGGCAGGTATTTAATCTTCCCCCAATGCCTACTGTGAATGATGTTTATCAGTAGGTAGAGGTGAAAGTTCTCTTGTTAACCCCACATTTAAGTGGGAGAAGAATAAAGTTCATGTCTGTTTGATGGTCATACTCAGCACCCAAATTTAACCCTAGCTTTCTTCAACTCTAAGACTGTCCAAAGTTGTATGATTTCATTGACAGATTTTCTAAATACCAAGAAAGTGAACCCAAATGGCACATTACAATGCCACATATCATCTTTCATTTCTTTTTCCAGGATGAGAGAACATGGTTACTTATATTAAATTTCTGAATCAGCAGGAAAAAGACTACTTTAGGCTTTTGTACAGAATTGCAAAGTTGTTTGATTTCATTGACAGATTTTCTGAATGCCAAGAAAGTGAGCCCAAACAGCACATTACAATGCTTGGGAGCAACTTAGGAGAAATCCTTCTTTCATGTGCCAGATAAATATGCCCAGAAGAGGAGAGGAATCTTCAAATTAGCTTCTCTTACACATCTGAACAGCTCAACTAGTTCATAACAAGAGAAATGGCCCTTTCCATTGTATCTTATGTCAGCCTTTAAAGATTAGTACTTTAAATTAAACAGTTGGCCACCAGGGTAGATTTTCAGAATAAGCATCCTGTCATTTCTGTATCTTGCACTGATGAGCAGTTTAGCTACCATGTATGACACCACTTTCACTCTGATCTTATTTAAGCAATGCCTTAAAAATCAGGGTTTCCCCCCCAAGACTCATGCCATAGTGGGTGGTAGACCCCTTGAGATTTATAGCAATAGCACTTAGATTTATACACTATTCCATAGTGCTTTACAGCCTTCTCTGGGCTGTTTTTACAATGTCAGCATATTGCCCCCAACAATCTGGGTCCTCATTTTACTGACCTCAGAAAGATGGAAGGCTGAGTCAACCTTGAGCTGATCAGGATTGAACTTCAGGTTGTGGGCAGAGTTAGCATGTAATATTGCATCTAACCACTGCACCATCAGGGTTCCTGCATAAAACGGATTTCTGCAATTTCCCCAGATATCTGCTTCCTGCATTGTTTATATTGCAATGTTTTAAATCACTTTCAATTGTAAACCACCTAGAGATGTAATGGAATTGGGTGATGTATTAATGTAATAAATTAATAAGTGGTACACATAGTCCTTGACTTATGACCTATTGCTTAATGACCATTCAAAGTTATGACAGACACTCCAAAAGGTACTTATGGCATGGTTCTGAACTTCTGACAGCCATCTCCCCCTCTCTTCTCCCCTAGTAACATGACTGCATTTCAGGTATTCAGCAACTGGGCTACGTTTATGGCCATTTGCAATGTCCCAGGGCCTGATGATCATGATTTACAACATTTTTGCTGAAAATACATTGTTTGCTTTTGGTTTTCAGCAAAAATGTCCCATAGTAAACAATGGGTCAGCTTAACAACCACAGCGTTTGCTTAATAACTGCCACAAAAAAAAGTCTTAAAATCAGATAAATGGCCAGTCTCCATTATAATTGTAAATCAAGGACTATCATAATTTGTGTAAGTACAGTAATACAAGAAAAAAGTCCCCTCCATAAGAAGATTTTTCCTCATCTTTTTGTCAATCAATGATGCTATATCTTAATCTGATTTTGGGTTTGTAACCTTTTGATTCACTTTGAGGCAACTGATTCAAATTTATAGATTTGCAGTAAGAAAGCCAAGAAAGTCAAAAAGTGTTTAACAAAACAATGCCTCAGTGGAAATGGAGTTACAGTATATAAATATTAATCTTCTAATTTCATTTCAAAATAATGTTCAAATTTTGAAGTTCAAAAAATTTACTCTTTTGATGTAGTCTAATTACTAACTATAGATACAAAATCCTCACACTCTTTATATTTCCTACATATAATTCTTTAACAAGGAATAATTATTTTGCTATGTATTTTTGAAGGAATATAGGGCTAACATATACAAACATACATACAATAAAAAATATAGTATATTCAGGCTTGAGACAAGATTCACTGAGAGGAATTTTGATTTTTTCCCCTTCATTCCAAAGGGTCAATGTCATCTGAAAAAGCCCTATTAATCATGGAGTGTGCAACAGAATGACAAAATTCACATTTGTTTTCTTTTTGGTGCCAAGTTGGTGTGTAATTCATTGGGGCTCATTAAATAAATTCCTAAGCACTTTAATTTCAGAGAAAGATCCAACATTTTCATTTTACAGATGCATTTCATGCTCAGGGAATGTTTATGTAATTTACAGTCGGGTATGCGTTAACACTAAATGAACTTACGGGAAATATAAAAAGGGTTGTAAATTTTAGGATTTGGTCTGACCAACTAAAGCTTCTGGTAACTGACCAAATGGAAATCTAATGTCATAGATGAAGTAATAAAACTCTGTTTGCAGCACGTCTGTATAGGCAGAAGAACACAACAAGGTGACATTGGGGCAGTGGTGAAATGTAAAATTTGTTACTACCGGTTCCGTGGGCATGGCTTGGTGGTGGGGTAATGTGAGTGGGTGGGCATGGCCAACTTTTTTTTTTACTTTTAAAAGCATTTTTTTCTACAACCTCTTTGACTGAAGAGGTTGCAGAAAAAAATGCTTTTAAAAGCCTCTGACGATCCCAGCTGAGCCGCAAGATCATCAGAGGCTTTTTTTTTTTTTTTTTTCTTTTAAAAGCATTTTTTTGGCCGAAGAGGTTGTAGAAAAAATGCTTTTAAAAGTAAAAAAAAAAAGCCTCTGATGATTGCACGGCTCAGCTGGGCAGGGTGGGGGGGGCAGGGATTTTTGCTAGCAGTTCTCCGAACCACCCATCACCATCACCAGGAGCATTTCACCCCTGCATTGGGATTTTCTCCTCCCACTCCTCCCACAAGCTACTGTGTCATGATAACTAAATTTATAACTGAGAGGAGATTAACAGCCATGCCATTATAAGTTTCACCTGTGATATTTCCAGAGACCCAGGAAAGGAAGACATGGAGGACATTTGACTTGGGAATGGAACACCCTGGCTGCCTGCCCCCCAAATACGTTCGTGGGGTTATTTCATTGAGCAAAGTCTTGCCTGTTCACCTGGCAAGGTTTTGTATGAACAAGTTTTCTTGGTTACTTTTGCGTAGACTTGGTAAACATGGTTTTGGGAATGCTGGCATCAGCAGCTCATCCACATCAAGGGAAGGGATTGATCTCACACTGTTGTGCTAAGAGCTAGTGAGATATTGGGTAGGAAATTGCTAGAACATTGCTTCCTATATGCTGACTAAATGTTTAAAAAGTTGTGCCTTAGTACCTTTTGCTACTGCCTTTGAAATAATTTTCACTATTACAACTGAAAGTTTAACTTTTATTTTAAAAAATTAAGATTTAATTCTGTTAAGGTTTTTGATTAATTTTTGTAGCCCATCTGGGTAGTTCTAGATCCAGGTTTCTGAAAAACACTGAGATACTGAGGTACAATACTGGTAGTCCTCAACTTACAACCATTCATTTAGTGACCATTAAAAGTTACAACGGTACTGAAAAAAGGGGCTCCTGACCAGTTTTCACACTTACATCTGTTGCAGCATCCCCCGTGGTCACACAATCAAAATTCAGGCTCTTGGCAAGTGGCCTGTATTTATGACAGGTACATAGTCCCAGGATCATGTGTTCACCATTTGTAACCTTTCCAGATGGCTTCTGACAAGCAAAGTCAATAAGGGGGAAGCCAGATTCACTTAATGACCACATGATTTAATTGGCAACTACGGAGATTTGCTTAACTACTGTGGCAAAAAGGGTTGTTAAAATGGATGAAACTCACTTAACAATTGCCTTGCTTAGTAATAGAAATTTTGGGTTCAATTATGGTTACAAGTCAAGGTCTAGCTATACTGCTGTACAAAATGGTGGCAAATCCCATTAGAGAGCTTTTTCCTCACTGTTAAACTGAGCTGATTTTCCTGCCATTACCTATATTACCTACATTAACAAATTAACTTTGGGTAAATCACATTGTTTTATTTTCTCCACGTAGTTTATGATGTCCTTAACACTTGCTGTCTTGATTCCTTTTCCCGTAATAAAAGTTTTTTTCTGCTTTTTCACAGTCAGGCTGTTTTTCATTTTTTTTAATTTACTGAGATTTGAGTAAAAAATGTTAGGATGAATTTACTGAATGCTAAATGGTAAAGCAGACAATAACATACATAGAACAAAAACAAAATTGGCCCTTATTAATATTTTAAAATCTATGCATGCACGTTTATCCTATCAGGGCGGAAAATAATCAGTACAAATAAGAATTATGGCTAGATTTGTTTCACTGTTTACATAAAGCAAAAACAAAACTTAATATCTTTATGCTGATTCATGTAGCTTTTTTAATAATTGTTTTTCCTCTCTGTCCCTTCTTGGTAATGATCCAAATTTTCCATTAGTCTAATTACATTCCAGTCACTTTTATTTTGTAGCTACTCTACAAATTGGTTATTTATTTCTCCCCTCTTCTTTCTCAGATGGTACCATGGACATCTTTCTGGTCCAGCAGCTGAGGCTTTACTCCAAGCCAAGACTGCACCATGGACTTTCTTAGTGCGTGAGAGCCTTAGCAAGCCTGGTGATTTTGTGCTGTCTGTCCTGACTGACCAGCCTAAACCTAGGACTGATGTTACTGGAGCCCACAGCCAGGAACGACTCAAAGTTACCCATATCAAGATTATGTGTGAGGTGAGAAGGTGGGAGAGAAGGTAAAGGAGGAGATAGAGAGGACTTTATTACCTGTAAGATGATATACAAATCATTTTCTCATTTTCACCTTATGTGGTTCCAGATGACAATCCAATTGGAAATTTCATGACTCTTAACAGTTGATTATCAATTGATCTGTAATATTTCACATTTGTATCCATACGTTCGGTATCTTTACCAATGAAAGGTTAGTTGCACTTCAAACAAAAAGGGAATCAAGTTCCTAAAAGAACCTTGTTTGGCCATAGTAGATGACAAAGGTAGCTGTAGTCAAGTCTCTTGAGATTCAGGAGCTGGAACCTCAGAGGTACGAGTGGCATCATGTGCACCAAGATGTGGATCTGATGAAGTAGAGATGGAATGTAACATGTCCTTAGTCAAGGGAGAGACTAATCTCTGATAGATCAAGAGAAGAGCTTGACTGTGTCTCTGGGTTCATCTGTGCTCAGATGGAAGCCATTGACTCTGCAGTACACAGTCAGCCTCACAGCCTAAGCATAACATGGCTTCTTTTTTTGATACCGCCCCCACAGCGGAGTTTCTACTTATTCATCTGGAGATCTTGAGAAAGAGGTTAAAAGTCTAAAATGTCTGGTGAAACCTGGAGATTTCACTTCTCTAGAAATACTTCATTATTGTCAGGCTCAAAACCAAGAATGACATTCTTCCAAGCTGAGATTGTTATTACTTAACACTTACAGATGAAATCTTGCCAGACTGAAGATCCTGTTATCTCAATCTACTATATACTCTGTGAACTATTAGGGAGGATCTGCCCTTAAGAGCCCTCTAAATACAATGTTTAGTGTCCCAGAAGAGACAACTATTAAAGAGAAAGTAATAATTTTAACTGTTCATTAATTATACTTAATCTCTACTTAGAGAATTTAGAAGCCTAGTTTCTCACCTCCAGGTAGAGAGGCACGTTGATTTATCAGCCAAGCTGATAAAAAGTGCTCATTGTTAATTGATTTTGTGGGGATGTCCAATATCATTTGCATATTCAAGTTTCCCCAGACTGCCATTAAGTATGAGTGCAATGAAATCCAAAATAGGCATTTTCCCCCTGATTCTAAAATGTAGCTCCTAGAATCATTAACACCTCAGTCCTGTGTATGTCAAATTCCCTGTTCATTGTAATCTGGAGACATAACCCCCCAAAATCACAGAAAAGGAATTAAGTATTAGAATGACAGAGTCTTGGACTTCTTCTAGTCCAGGGGTGGGCAAATGCGGCTCTTTTACAACCTGTGGACTTCAACTCCCAGAATTCCTGAGACAGCCTGAGACAGCTGGCTCAGGAATTCTGGGAGTTGAAGTCCACAGGTTGTGAAAGAGCCACATTTGCCCACCCCTGTTCTAGTCCAACCACCTGCTCAAGCATTCCGAACAAATGGCTGTCCAATCTCTTCTTAAAAACCTCCAGTGATGGAGCTTCCACAACTTCTGGAGGCAAGTCCCTCCACTGATTAATTGTTCTAACTGTCAGGAATTTCCCCTTAGTTTTAGGTTGGTTCTCTCCTTGATTAGTTTCCATCCATTGCTTCTTATCCTGCCTTCAGGTGCTTTGAAAAATAGAATGACCTCTCTTCTTTGTGGCAGCCCCTTAGATATATTAATAATGACAACTAGCTCCAGACTTGCAAAGAATCCTTCTTAGTGGTTTCATATAGATGTTAAGTAACACAGGAGACAAGAAAGAATCCTGAAATCTTTCATTATTATTTTTCTGTAGTGTCTGGAGAAAAAGGGATAAACAATTCTTGCAATCCTCTAGGTCTCCTGAATCATACTACTATATCAGTTTAAAATTCTGGTGTAACTCAAAAAATGAATCTTTTGAATAATATCAAGCATTTATTAGGAAAATACAAGCGCATTGTTTTCTAGAAAAGAAAACATTGATGTGTATTTGGTTTAGGTTGGATTAAATCTCAGGAGCCATTGGATAAACAAGGGAACAATATGAATGAAAATTAGGTCCTAAGGAAGAATAGCTTGGAAAGAAACTGGCTCTTTGCCTTGAGCACACAATATAAAAGCAACCCTCACTTAGTACTTCAGTCTAATATCCATTGCCCATATAGTAGAAATTAGGGTTAGATTATATATGGGCCCTGGAAAATTTCACATCACAGCCTGTACTGGGTTTAGGATTCCTTCTTTTCCTTCCTAGCAGCTAACTGCTGCTCCTGAGGCGATTCAAAGAATGAAAGCTTCCTGATGTCTTTTCCCTTTTTTGTTATTGTTGTTAGTCACGAAGTCGTGTCTGACCCATCGTGACCCCATGGACAACGTTCCTCCAGGCCTTCCTGTCCTCTACCATCCCCCGGAGTCAGTGGTGGGATTCAGCCAGTTCGCACCACTTCAGGAGAACCGGCTGTTAACTTTCTGAGCAGTTTGGCAACCCGGTTGTTGGAAGAAATCATTAGGGCAGAGAACTGGTTCTTAAATTACTTGAATCCCACCACTGCCCGGAGTCCATTTAAATTCACGCCTTCTGCTTCAGTGATTCCATCCAGCCACCTCATTCTTTGTCGTCTCCTTCTTCTTTTGCCCTCAATCATTCCCAGCATTAGGCTCTTCTCCAGTGAGTCCTTCCTCCTCATTAGGTGGCCAAAGTATTTGAGTTTCATCTTCAGGCAATAATCCATGAAGAGGTTTCCCTTTTTATTTAGCCTCAAAGGGAAGGAAGTTGTCCCTTTGCTTAGGGATTGGTCTTCATTAGTCTACATTAGGCTTTACTTAGTAGCAGGGATGGGAGAAGCAGGGACTTTACCACTTGTGTCCCTGTGGTTTCATCTTACAGGGATATTTAAGAGCTTGCCCTGCTAGAGGTGCCCATCAACAAAACATTAAAAATCACGCAAAAGAAGAACGAACAAGGGAGGAGTCAGAAACTTCAAGAGCTATTAAAAACATTGAAAAGGACTCTGTGAAGAGTCAATTTGTAGGAGCAAAGACCTCATCCTCAAAATGGAAATATTAAAGTAGCTGTGCCTTGTAGAAGGCATACATGATTGTTCAGAGGTTATATGGAATTTATGAGATTATCAATAATGTATCCACAGCTACCTTTGCCTGGATGGATGCCCTTTGGAGCTGCTGTACCAAGTCTTTGGTTTCCCTTTGGAATGCTTTGCAGAAGCCCCTCCCCAATACAATAAAACAAAACATAATCTTAAGAAGAGACCAACATTTTAATTATCCACTATTTTGTCTAAAAATACATTTGCATAAAGAGATGATCACATGATTGATAAAAGAGCCTTGGTAGTACAGTGGTCTAAGGCACCTTGTTATTAAGCTGGTTATTAAGACCAGCTGCCTGCAATTACTGCAGGTTCGAATCTCGCCAAGGCTCAAGGTTGACTCAGCCTTCCATCCTTTCTAAGGTAGGTAAATTGAGGACCCAGTTGTGGGGGCAATAAGCTGACTTTGTATAAATATACAAAAGGATGAAGGCTATTGCTGAGCACATTGTAAGCCGCCCTGAGTCTCTGGAGAAGGGCGGCATATAAATCAAATTTTTTTTAAAAAAAAAACAGAGATAAAATGTGAATAAAATATTTAATTGCTTTAATTAAAGTTGTGATGATTAGCTTTCCACAGGATTGAAAAGATAATAGCTCAGTAAAAAATAAAATATAGGAACAAGATTAAGTGTGTGTATACATAGACACTAAGGCACCTACATATATGAGGGACTGGAATAATAATGCTTTTTGTTTTCTCATTTTTTCTAGAAAGGGCAGTACACAATTGGGGGTACAGCAAGATTCCTCAGTTTGACTGACTTAGTGGAACATTTTAAGAAGACAGGAATTGAGGAGGCATCTGGATATTATGTATATTTGAGACAGGTAAATAAGCTATTACTTATCAGACTTATCTCTGAATTGTTCAAAAGGTAAATTTCATTATGTTGTCCAATACAGTTTATAGAAGGTGATATAGATATGTAAATTCAGACATTATCATGTATTATGTGGGTGTATCTGTAATGTATTATGTGTGCGTTGTGTACTGTATTATGTGTGCTTACTGTATTATTTATGTGTACCTGTAAATGTAATATTATTAGTATCAACAATATTATTCTCAAATTAAAGACAATCTATTCATGATAATCACACAGCCAATTGTGCTAATAAGGTGCGCATATACAAGGTAAATTAATGAATTCTAAACCACTACTGAAATTTAGCATCAGATACATCCATAAATCTTAACTTCATGTCTTTGATACTTTTCATTCATCAACTGCTTTTCTCAGACTCTAGTTTTGCTTTAATAATTAGTCTTAACATCCTGTACAGAGAAATAAGTTAGATTTGCACAAAAATAAGATGACTATGTGATTAGTTTGGTTTTGGTTTTGCAAGTTCTACACAATCAGTCATTGTGGCTTATAGTTTAGTAGGATTTATGAGCTCATAGTAACTTATTCAATAAAACATGACTAAGATTATACTTAGAGTGACATGTAAGGTATAAACCTACAATTTCCCCCAAGTATTTTGTTATCAAATTTGAAACAAAATTCATATGGTATGTCCAACTATAAAATGTCCATTTTCCCAAAGTCAGATTGGGAAAAGTGATTGATCCCTGCAACTCTCTTTATCTGCCTTTGTTATCCAGTGGTCCTTGCAATCTTAGTCTGTCTGCACATTTATCACATTTGCAAACAAAGTTCGGGGGTTGGTTGCAAATATGGATCATACTTAGTTTCTAAGAAAGTTACAAACCATCTGCAGGCTTCAGAGATATTCTTGGAAATATAACTCATTGCAGAAGCTAATGCTTTGCCTATAACCTGCTTTGCTTATAACCCTATAACCTTAATACTAAGTTTCTTAGTATTTATTTGTTTTATAAATTTAAGAAAAGATAAACAACATTAGGTTGGAGTAGGCATCTGACCAGTGACTAGTGAAATTGATAAGGGAAATATCCATGGGCACCTTGGTGCTCTTACTCTCTGTCTCAACATTCCATTTTTCCTTTTCTTTCTTCATTTCATCCCCCCATCCCCCTCTCCAAGCCTTTCAATGCCACTCGAGTGAATGCAGCTGACATTGAAAACAGAGTGGAAATGCTCAAAAGGAGGAGTCAAGCAGAAGAGGCAAACAAAGGTGGTTTCTGGGAGGAATTTGATGTGAGTAGAGTTTTCTGCAGTGAACTATTCCTCATGTTTTAGCCTCAGAATTCAATGCTGCAATCCCAAAATATATACATTATTTCTGGAACCTCTAAGAGCCCCAATGAAGATGGCTATTGGGAGCTGTAATTCAGCAACATCTGAAAGCCAGAATTTCCTTACCCGGAATACCTAAGAAATAGGACTCAGACCAATGATGTCTCAAGCAGAAATTCATTTCTTTATCATAGAAAGCATCAGTCCTCATACTTTCTTGATGTGAGGTAGCCTTAGCCAACAGGGACGTAATCAATAGTCATATAGTAATTGTGAAATACAACACATCCATTAATTGAACAATTTAAACATTTGAAGATTTATTTTTCCCCATCTCTTTTTAAAATATAGATGTGCCTCTTTTCTTCAGCTGCCAGCTGCATTACTAAAACTTATCTTCATTTCTTCCTTCAGAGCCTGCAGAAACAAGAAACGAAGAACTTGTATGATCGACACGAGGGTCAAAGACCAGAAAATAAGATCAAGAACCGCTATAAGAATATCTTGCCCTGTGAGTTTGGTGTTCAACTTTGCTTAGCCTATGCATGTAATACAATCAGATAACTACGATGTAAATACTTCTTCTGCGGTTGAAATATTACAAGTCTGTCTCTGCTTTTCAAAACAAAAAAATCCATAAAAATATACAGCATGGAAGCAAAAGTCTGGTTAGCACTTTATTGCATGTTGCACAACCTTTCATAGATATATTGCCTTATGAACTAACTTTTCTCCTGATGGATAGTCAAATTAATTTTCTTCCAGTTTGGATGCCCAAACATTTAAAGGAAAACTTTTTCAGTTTGAGCAACTAGCAAAATTATTTATTTATTTTTATAAAATTTTACTTGAGAATGAAAAAATGCTCCATATCAGAATAAAATAATATAAAACTGGCAAATACCTTTAAATGATTAAAACAAGACTATATATTAAAATAGGGAAAGCACGTAAAAAATGAAAGTAGAAAAATAGAGACCACCTTTGGTGGGAAGGTAACAGCGTTCCGTGCAACTTTGGTGTTTAGTCATGCCGGCCACATGACCACGGAGACGTCTTTGGACAGCGCTGGCTCTTCGGCTTTGAAATGGAGATGAGCACCACTCCCTAGAGTCGGGAATAACTAGCACATATGTGCGAGGGGAACCTTTACCTTTATATATTAAAATCTAAAACAAACTAACAAGTTAAGATAAATGTGAGAAAGTAATGGAATGTGACTAAAACGAGAGAGGGAGGAGCAATAATGCAATTCAAGCTCTTTGGGTTTCTTCCGTGGCGTTGGTGAATAACCTATTTCTCGTGAGAGTAACTCCTGCCAGTCTCTCCTTCCCAGGACTATGGTTCTCCCCTTTCCTCCCCATCCCTTCAGCTGTGAAGTCATCAGGGTACTGTGGCTACAATGGGTATGTTTGGTATATCAGCTTTGTTGAACTGCTGTTCTTTTTGCTCACTGCCACAGGCTGCCTGCTGAGGGCTTTTTTCCCCTATTCTCTCTCCTTCCCTGGATGGAGAAGGAAAGGCACATTACCTCTGGTCTTTTCTGCAGGATGTTAGAATCTCCTTAAAAAGAAAGAAGTAGAGGAACTGAATAACAAAGCCTTGCATTCCAATTAAGTAGTGTTATTGAGGTCAGAGTATTTGCCAGTGCTATTTTGGAAATAAGAATTTCAGCATTGTGTTTTCAGGTGCTTCAGATGGGTCATAGGAAATAAAAACTGTCTCCTGCCATTTGTATCTAGAAAATTTACTAAAGTCCCTTTCACAAATTGTGTGATTCTTCAGTGACGTTGCTTGTCTTATCTTCCAGTTGACCACTCCAGAGTTATTCTTCAAGACAGAGATGTGAATATTCCTGGGTCTGATTATATCAATGCCAACTACATCAAGGTGAGGATTAGTTTACTCTGTAATATCTGGAGAAAAGAAGGGGTGGGAATTTATTTCTTGAGGTTTTTTTAATCTCATCTCTTTATTTCTTGGCAGAATGAGCTGTTCAGTCCAGAGGAATGCAGTAAAACCTATATTGCCAGCCAAGGTTGCCTGGAAGCCACCATTAATGATTTCTGGCAGATGGTATGGCAAGAAAATTCACGCATCATTGTGATGACCACTCGGGAGGTGGAGAAAGGACGGGTAAGTAGACAGACAGACAGATGATAAATAGATAATAGATAGATGAAAGATAAATAGAAAGAGATGGATGGCTGGATCGATGGATTGATAGATGGATAGATAGATAGATAGATAGATAGATAGATAGATAGATAGATAGATAGATAAGACAGATAGATAGAGAAAGAGAGAGAGAGAGAGAGAGAGAGAGAGAGAGAGAGAGGGAAGGAGAGAGAGAGAGGGAGGGAGGTTGCTAATCTCCAAGATATGAGCTCAGCATAAACAATCTGTACCAATGAGAGAAATTCAGGGAGAGGACCAAACAGCACAGAGATATGCTTCATCATAATTCTTCCCTTAACATTGAATTGGACTTCCACTAAAATCACTTCAGCTGCCCTAAAAATTGCTTCAAAGTTGCACTTAAGGAGAAACCTGTAAACTTGTTTAATTGCTTTTAACGAAGGTCTAAATTTAACTAACGTTCCAATGGTGCTCTTTCAGTCCCTCTGCCTTATCTTTTTCTGGTTTCCTAATAGAATAAATGTGTTCCCTACTGGCCAGAAGTAGGAAGCAGCAAAGAGTATGGGCCTTATATTGTGGAAAATATTGGAGATCGTGAGGCGATAGACTATAAACTCCGACAACTTCGGCTTTCACCAATCAATAATGTGAGTACCTGAAGCCTTCGAATATTTTCCTCATGCATCCAACTTTGACTCCAAACCTTAGTGGGAACTAACAAATGAAAAGGAGACAGAGGTATAATACTCTTTTTCCCCCAAGTTTGGTGTGTCCATCCTTTGAACTAGTCTGAATAGGAGTCCTTTTGATGATGATTACACACAAAAGATCTTGGCTGAATGGACACCGCTTGATCTCCTTCCAGCCATTGATTGAAAGCATTCATTCTCAATGGTGTTTGGCATCTCAGTGCAATCTTTCCTAGAGGTTTGTTTCCTTCCCTCCCGCACCTGTTTGCAAGGGCCAAATATACTGACAAATATTTGCTAGGGTTTTGGTTATGGTGTATTCTAATGTAGACAGCAGCTCAGAAGAGCATAGACATAGCACAGGAAGCCATATCCACATCCCTAATAGGTCATCTGGAAGAACTCTTAGCTCAACTGGGGGATGAAAAGGCTTCATTTTGGGCAGAAGCAGCATCTCCTGGGAAGCCACCTTTTTCTCTTCAAACCAGTGGTGAAATCTGAACTGGTTTGCCACTGGTTCGCTGGCCGCGCATGCACACTGCAAACCAAGCGCACATGCGCGTGCATGCACACTACACACCAAAAGGAGGCTTGGGAAGGTAAGTAAAACAGCAAGGGGGGATCAGCTGTGCCACACGATTTAGATTCCCTAGAAAGCAGGATTTCCTGCTTTCTAGTGATTTTAAATCGCGTGGCACAGCTGATCATTGGAAATACCGGTTCAGAGGAACTGGTAGCTTTTTTATCAGTAGCGTTTTTATCACTACCGGTTCACCTGAACCAGTGCGAACTGGTAGCATTTCACCACTGCTTCAAACCCCAGTGACAGAATTAGTTTGTCTACAGCAGGGGTCATCAACCTTTCGGACCTTCGGGACCACTAAATTCATAATTTTAAATCCCACGGACCACTAATATGATCTGCCTAATGACCAGCTGGGTGGGAGTGGCTAGGTGGTCATGTGACTGGGTGGGTGTGTCCAACTCTACTCACCCCTCCCCTCCCAGCCACTCCTCGCCTCCCTGCCCGGGCTCCTTAGGGCCCCAACAGGAAGCAGTTATTGAAGCTAAGCAGACACCACAAGAAAGAGTTGGCAAAACAGCTCAGTTCAAATTGGATCTGACTGAGAAGGAGGCTCAGTAGAAGCCCTCACTGAGGACTACGAGCATAGGCTTTCCAAGCAGAGGGAAGACCTGCGGGAGTGCAAGGCCAGGTACAGGCACCTGGAGGCTCAGAGGTCTGAGATGGTCAGCCAGTTTCAGGCCATGATGCAATCCCATTGGAACAAGGCCCCCCGACTCTTTGCCACCAGCTTCGCTTCCCTCCAGCCTTCGCCCAAAGTCCTGCACCAGGAGGCCGAAGCAGACCTCAAGTCGGAATTTCTGTCCCCCTCTGACCCACACACAAAGACCCTGAGGGGTGTCTCTCTGCAGTAACACAAATGTTCATTGCACGTATCTGTCCCAGGGGCCATAGTTGGAGGACCCCTGATTTAGTGCAATATAAAAAATGCAAATAATTTTTCTGCGGACCACCAAAATTTTCTCACAGACCACCAGTGGTCTGCGGACCACCAGTTGGTGACCGCTAGTCTACAGCATAAGATGCCATCCACTGCCATATCATATGCTGAGATGGATGTGAAAGTAATGCAGTCACTCCCGAGGAGGAAAAATAATACTTCCATGTCTCATCTCTCTCCCAACCTTAGTAACTTTTCAATAAAAAAGAACACCGCCACAAAGGGAAAAAAGAAACCCCTCTGTTCTGATGGGAGGCATCATTCCTTTTAGTCCAGTTGGACAATGGGAGTAGAACTCCAAACAGCATCACTGGGCCCAAGGGTCCTGCTTTTCCTCATTGGAGAATTATATTAAAGAGAAGAGGGAAGAGAACATGAAAGTTTAAAGGTCTAAAAAAAAGCATGCGTTCTTCAGACATTGCTGACTGAATCTGCTCATTTTGTGGATTCATTTGGATGCATAAAGAAGCAGATGGAAATCAAGTGGACAGGGCTAACCTAAAGGTGTGGGTAAGTGCAGAAACAGGCAATGAAAAGAAGTGGAGTTTTGCATTTCTCACCTCACAAACTGGGAGAGACAACACGGTAGAGGGATGGCAGTTCAGTCTAGACCAGGGATTTCCAACCTTGGCAACTTTAAGCCTGGAGGACTTCAGCCCTTCATGGCTTAGGCCTGAGGTACTTGCAGAACCATCTCCAGCCGTTCTCCCATCGTGCCGTGCGCTCTCACAGAGTCGGCCTCCTCAGGGTGCCGTCGGCCAAACAATGTCGGCTGACGACCCTCAGGGGGAGGGCGTTCTCTGTGGGAGCCCCGACCCTCTGGAATGGATTGCCCACTGAGCTCAGGACAGCCCCCGACCTTCTTTCCTTCCGCCGCGAGCTGAAGACGTGGCTCTTCCGCCAATTAAACTGATCCGTTTGGGGGTACACTGGTATAATTTTAAATCGTTTTTTAACTGGTTTATTGATTTTAATTTTGTATTGTATTGTGATTTGTATTGAAGTTGTCATTTTGTAAGCCGCCTTGAGTCCCTAGGGAGAAAGGCGGCATATAAATCGCAATAAATAAATAAATAAATAAACTCCCAGAATTCCCCAGCCAGCAAAGCTAGAACACATCCCCTCCAGCAGCCAACACCCAGAGAAGCAGGAAACCATCAGAAACAATACTCTAATGAAGGAGCCGTTAAGAAGGAAACCTGCTGTATATAAAGAACCAGCAAACCCTCTCCCTCTCTCATTAATGATATTACCTACCCAGGTAATGAAATGTCTGCAATAAAACAATAGTTTCAGGGAGCATCAAAAACCCAACATTTCACACTTAATGAGCTGCATGATATTTGTGATGAAAAGTCCTGTAACTATATTTTTAAAACTGTTTAAATATTTTCCTTGAAAATAAAGAATATCATTTCAGAAAAATAGAGAACTACTATTTTAAAAGTCAGGAAAAAAAATGAAGCAAAATTGATCTGTGCATGCAAGTGAACAATACAAGGTAGCAGGGTGAAAATTATTTTTTCCCCTTGGTTCCACCTCCAACTTAATACAGGATCCATTTTTCAGTGTTACAAATCCCAGCTGGGTGTTTAAAAGAAGGAGAAGAAACATTTATTCCTCTTCCTTGCATCTTCTAGTGTTGTTTTTAAAAAGTGTGCTTCATTCAGAACACTTTAGAACAACTTCATCAAGATTGCAAGCACTGTCCTTTTGCAGGAATATTCTGCCAGATTTTTTGGGAAAGTGGATCTCAAGATACCCTTTTTAATTTATTTGCTCTTTGGCACTTTCTTTGGTCCAAAGCTTTAACACAGAACCTGGTACAACATCTGAGATACAATATTAGATGAACCCATGGTTAATGGCAATGAATAAGCCATTATGAAGCCCAATGCATGGAGGCCAAATGTACCAAGGGCTGGAACATCTGTTCCTTAATGGGACTTTGGGCAGGGGAAGCATTCTTTGTCCTCCTGAAGTTTCTGGCTGGCTGGCTGGCAGAAAAAGAAAACTAATCTTCTACTGTCAATATCGGGAGCTTTGTGGGTGTGTTTATTAGTTTCTGCAAGCACGACGGAAGAGCAGAAACAGCATAGAATAGAAGGAAAAACAGCAGACATGAGGGTGTGGTTTTGTATTCATATATTAGTCTGAACTGGTGTCGGGTTTCCTGCCTAAGCAGGGGGTTGGACTAGAAGACCTCCAAGGTCCCTTCCAACTCTGTTATTCTATTCTATTCTATTAGGGTGAGGCTGTGAGAGACATCTGGCATTACCAATACCTGAGCTGGCCAGACCATGGAGTGCCCAGTGAGCCTGGAGGGATTCTTAACTTCCTTGATGAACTCAATCGGATGCAGGAGAGTGTCCCAAGAGCTGGACCCATCATAGTGCACTGCAGGTGAGTGATCTTCTGCTAATGAGGGCGTATTGTGAAATATACCACAAAGAAAACTCTACATGCTACTGAGAATTTTATTTATCTGGTATCCAGCAAAACCGACCATGTTTAAAGATTATCTTCTTTTTAAAAGTTTTTATCTTTTTCTAAAAAGATGATACGAATCAATACAAACTAATAAAAATAAAGCAAAAAGAAATCAAAGAAAAAGCTAAAAGTGCAAGAAAGGGAAAAAGTAAATAAAAAGAAAAAATAAAGAAAAAAGATACAAAGAAATGACTTCAGATCTTTATAACAGCTACAAGTATAATTATAAATTTACCACTTTCTCTAAAGCTACAACATACATATCTCTCTTCTCTCTGTAATCTATCTTGGCTAATCATCAAAATCATAAATGACATAATAACAGAATTGCAAGGGATCTTGGAGGCCTTCTAGACCAACCCCCTTCTCAAGCAGGAGACCTGCCTATACCATTTCAGACAAATGGCTGTTCTTTAAAACCTCTAGTGATGGAGCAAACTGGATGCAAGCTGTTCCACTGAGTAATTGTTCTCACTGTCAGGAAATTTCTCCTTAGTTCTAGGTTAGATCTCTATTTGATAAGCTTCCATCCATTGCTTCTTGTCTTGCCCCCAGGTGCTTTGGAGAATAGTTGACCCCCCCCTGTGACAGTCCCTCAAATATTTGAACATTACTATCACGTCACCCCTAATCCTTCTCTTCATTAGTCTGCACAAACCTGGTACCTGCAACCATTCATCATATGTTTTAGCCTCCAGTTCCCTAATCATCTTTGTTGCTCTTCTCTGCGCTCTTTCTAGAGTCTCAACTGTTAATCACTGGAGGTTTTAAGAAGAGACTGGACAGTCACTTGTCTGAAATGGTTTAGGGTCTCCTACTTGAGCAGGGGGCTGGACTTGAAGACCTCCAATGTCCCTTCCATTCTACTCCAGCATCCAAGCTGGAGACAGATGTAAATGTTGTTCAGAAAGAAACAATAGTGGAGGACTGTAAAAAGAAATTAAATAATTTTGTGAAAATAATTTAACAAAGATAACTGATTTAAGTACCTTCACTGGAAGCAAAACCTTTTATCAGAGGTCATTTCTTACAACATAATAATGAATTCAAAAAAAAGAGGCAAAAGAAAACACAAACTATTTTGGATGAGATAAACAGAAAAGAATTTTTAAAAAGTCTAGGAAAAAAATCCTAACAAATTAAGCTTTTACAATTATAGTTATCTATGCTAATAGCAAGAGAAATTGGAATAAAAATGAAAAGCAAAAAAACTTTTGAGTTTGCAAACAAATCAGGGAAATGGTTGGCATATAAATTAGTAAAAGAAAGAGAAATGGAATAACATTGAAACTCCAAGAGGGAGATACTGTACTAATGGACAGAGTGGCCAAGCAAAAAGCATTTCATCAATGTTTTTCTAACTTGTATAAAGTGAATGAAATCTCTCTGGAAGAAAATTATAAAAGAATACTTAAAGCAGTGGTTCTCAACCTTCCTAATGCCGCGACCCTTTAATACAGTTCCTCATGTTGTGGTGACCCCCAACCATAAAATTATTCCTAAAACCATCGAAAATAAGTCTTCCGATGATCTTAGGCGACCCCTGTGAAAGGGTCATTTGACCCCCAAAGGGGTCCCGACCCACAGGTTGAGAACCACTGACTTAAAGCAAGGGTGGGGAATGATGGTCCTTTTATGACTTGTGGACTTCAACTCCTAGAATTCCTGAGCTAAATATAAAACAAGATAAGAGAATTGTGGGAATAAAGATTTAAAAAGAGACTTAAAAGTTAAGGGGTTTTGAAGATGATTTGATGTTGGTTTTGGCAAATCCTTTAATGGAATTGAAAGATTAACGGGAAAACTAAACATTGGTGCATTAGCCAGTTTTAAGATCAACAAACAGAAGATGAAGATGTTAACAAAAAACATGAAGAATTTATGAATAAAACAGATTTTAAGAAGGAAAAAAAAGTAAAATATCTGACATCACCATGACAGATATAATTGTATGCCACTTAAAATAACTACGTTAAGCACAGTATTAGTTTTAAAAGCTATGTTAAGGTTAGGAGTAGGGTCATTAGGATGATAATGATGATGATGATGATGATGATGATGATGATGATGAAGATGACTCAAGCCGCCTTGAGTCTTTGGAGAAAGGCGGCATACAAGTTGAACAAATAAATAAATAAATGATATCCATTAAGTCGAGTCCAACTTTTGGCAATTCTCTGGTGACATAATCATATTGAAATGTGCCTATTTTGTGCCCAGAATGCACTCCAATGCCCATAATCCCCATTTCTTCCTTTTTCCACAGTGCTGGGATTGGTCGCACTGGGACCATCATTGTCATTGATATGACTGTGGATATGATTTCCACTAAAGGTGAGACCAGTTTGGGTATCTGACCTTGGATTGGCTGAAGCTTCCATTTGTGCTTCCCACTAGTGACCTGCAAACCTTTGATATACTATGAGAAAAAGGGAGGAAACACCATATAGGGAGAGCCAAGAATCACTTAAGGCTCTCTCTCTCTCTCTCTCTCTCTCTCTCTCTCTCTCTCCCTCCCTCCCTCCCCCCTCCCTCCCTCTCTCTTTTCTCTCTCTTAACGTGCAGAGCACATTAGGATGAAGTAGAGAAAAACCATTAATTAGCTATGACAGGGAAGTTGCTACATCTACCTTTCTGGTGATTGTCATTTCTAGGCATTTAGAGCCAAACTCTGCATGTGGACAGATCCATTGAAACTTAAACCCTGATCAAGTAAATATTTAGTCTATCAAGGTTGAAATTCTACACACTTTAAGGAGGCTGCTACAGGTATCTTTAATCCTGTTTACATCTGGTAATGAACATAAACAGGTCATTTTTGCAAGTATAATCAGTGGGATTTAAAAGGGTTTAAATGTTGCTGGATTGTTGTTATGACTTAATTAGTAATTAAATCTTTTATTAAATAAACTTATCCTTTCATATTTAGTGGTTTACAAATTACCTTAAATGCTTCAGAAAAACAGCCTAGAAATTCTGAACATGTGTACTTCATCTGAAGAAACTACTGTAGTGCTTCTGTGTAAATATTTTACTTATTTATTAGATTTTTATCCCACCTTTATTACTTCATAAGTAACTCAAGGCCTGCGAACATACTTCCTCCTATTTTCCCCAAAACAACTCTGTGAAGCAGGAGTGTGAGTGACTGGCCCCAAATCATCTAGCCAGTTTTCATGTCTAAGGTGGTGCTAGAAGTCCCCGTCTCCTGGTTTCTGGGCCAGTACCTTAACCACTACACCCAATGGGTTCTGCATGTTTTAACCTGTTTTCCTATTCCTCTTTTCTCTTTCTCATTGTGTCCCAGGACTGGATTGTGACATAGATATTCCAAAGGCCATTCAAATGGTCCGGTCGCAGCGCTCAGGAATGGTGCAGACTGAAGCTCAGTACAAGTTCATCTATATGGCCATATGCCAATTTATAGAGGTCACCAAAAAGAAGCGGGACATTATGCAGGTAGTGGATTGAAGGAGGCATGCAAATGCCATTCTGTTACTTTGGGTGGTGATTGTATTTTCCTCTAGAGAAGCAGATTGTACCCTAGCAAAGGGACAATAGCTATGGCACATTCATCTTCTAGCAGCCACGTTAGAGACACTTGTTAGAGAACCAAGCTGATTTATCCTCATTGGCTGAGTCCTTGTCATCTTCACTAGCTCTGCAGTAATCAGTGGATCTTGACCAAGAGACTTGCCAGTCTGAGTCACAGCAAAGGAGAGATTTCAAATTCCTTCACAGACTGGAGAATGGAAAAAGAAGAATGGATAGTGGGAGAGCGGGTGTTTGTTTTGGTTGTGCGGGGAGACTTCAGCTTCCTTCTGTTCACATTTGGCAGTTTCAGCTCCTTGCCTTCCATACAGTAAGAGAGTGCTCAGTGAACAACAAATACACTCCCTCACACACACCGGCTCTAGCTTTACTTTTACTCATTTTCTCCCTGCTGCAGTCTCCGAAAGGAAGACTAAATGAATCAGAGTATGGGAATATCACCTACCCACTTGCCCAGAAGACTTCACATCCAAAGATTTCTAGAAAATCTTCCAGGTAAGACCTTTGTTCAAAGCAAGCAATGATATTTATGAAGACAATCCAATGTTCTGAAAGTGGTAGATTTTAGATAGTTAACACCATTCTTTCCTGGAGCAAACTCTAAACTATATGCAAGTTTCATGTCTTAAAAAATGTTCAGGAATGTTGAATTTAAACTGGATAGAAGAAATTAAGAAAATAATGGATATTTTCCTGGTCTCTATCAGTGACATACGTAACAACATCCTAAACTTGTTGTGTGTGTACCACTCTTCAAAACATTCTCTCTTTTTGGGGGGTACTATGATTGAAAACAAATATCTATATGAATGAAAACTTGAGAAACAATGTCCTAAGAGATAAGTTGAAAGATTTAGCTTAGAGGGGGGAAAAAATGAAAGGGAGTCATGATGGCAGTCTACATCATGTTTCTTGTCACACACAATAGAGATTACGTGTCACTTGTTGCTCTAAAATTTAATTTCATTAAAGCCGATTAATGAAAGTTGCAGGAAAATCACTTTCAGCTAAATGTTAACAGAACCTCTAAGACTATGAAGTATTTAACAGGTCATCTTTGAAGCGTCTTCTTTGCTGATGCTATTTTAACAACAACTTGGCAATCTGATGAATTGAAAGAATTCTGAAACTTGATCCTGTGTATATGTGAAAGCAAATGATTGATGTGCAAAGTCCAGTCCAATAATATGACTTTGTGCCATATATGTGCTGCATTGAAAGGTTATTTTTTAAAATGCTACATAACCTGCTCTATGTATGAAGAAGCCATCACATTTCAAAATAGCAGAAAGCACCTCGCTTTGACTAATAGGTACAGCTATCTACTGAATGGGCACAAAACTGGATTTAAATAAGCTGCCACATGTTCTCAGAATTTGAATAGTTCAAATATAATTTGAGGCCACACTCTGGATCTATAGACTCTCATTTATTCCTTTCCACCCCATCTCGACCCACTCTTCTTAGTGAATAACTTCCTTATTTTTTCATGTAAATCAAATCATATTTGGTCTATTTATGCAAACTGATTAAATGTGAGTTGCAAAAAAACCACAACAATAACAACATCCCAAGCCAAACTGGATTGAAAGCCAATATTTAATTGTTGCTTTCTTGTGGGTCATCTGATAAACAGAAAGCAACTATGTTTTTCCTTAAAGCAAGAAGGAGAGGAGTATGAAAAGTCGCATGAGGCTCATGCACATAATAAGCCCAATGATGATTCAACATTATCTATGAACCTTGTTTGTCATCTTTTGCTCTTTTTCTCCTTATACAGGCAAAGGGAGGAACCAACCCTGTATGAGAATTTAGACAACATGAAAGGGAAAAAGGAAGAGAAGGGTCAAAAACCATGGCCATCTGGGAAAGAAAAGAAACCTAAAGGCTCTTTGAAGAAAAAGTAACCATCATTGGCTCCATTCGCAGTGATCAATTTGTCCTTGCTAATAACAATTTTGTCTAGAGGTTTACAGAATTGTAGAGAGCTGTCCAACACATTTTGGTCATTGCATGGAAAAACCCAGCTGGCACTTTCTCCTTTCATCACTTCATTCTCTCTTGTCCCTTGGTCCCTTTCATATATTATTTTAAATTATCGTAGGCCTCTTAGATGTTTATTTCATTTGCATGTAGAATTTTGCACCCACTGTAATTGTGCAGATTGTTCTCAGCCACCAATTTATTGCCTTGATTCCTTCGTTACCTCCTAAACTTCCCCATCTTTCAGCACAACTACTAGGTAGATCTCTGCTGTTTTTGAGGCTGTGGAAAGTGGAAAGTGCCTTCTTCTTTAGTCTATAAACTAAAACACCTGCTTGCATTCCCTAGACCTCTCCTAAGAGGGCCTAGTCCTTCCCATTTTCTATAATGTACCCCTTACTAGGTGGTACAAAGCTTAGTATGGATCTGGAGCTGGCAAACCATGTACTTTCGCTTTGGGCCATTCCACTTATTGGACCCAGAGGCTGAATACAGTGCTTTTCAATAAGCATTGCTTCCAAAGCTTAAGCTTTCTAATCCAGTTTCTTCCTACTGTTTGTTTGAAACTTAATCAGATCAAAGCTGACCATGTTCCATTTACAACTGGGAACCACAAGCTCAACAGCTATCTGTTTATTCACCAGCCTTTTGGCAATTACACTCTGTAAATAATAGATTGGGTTGCTTTACTCTGTAAATAAACCAGATATTTGTTTGGTATGTGCCTCCTTTCACTTGCTCAATATATCTATTTAATATATTAATATATCTTAATATAGCATAGATTTTAATATAGTCATGGCCAGGAGCCCTATGCGCAACTGTGGGTTGTGCACTAGTTATGCCCTTTCCAAACCAAAAATTCCGTACTCATGGTAATTCATGCCCTAGTCACCACCTGTCTTGACTATTGCAACTCATTCCGCTACATGGGGCTACCCTTGAAAAGCATCTGGAAGCTCCAGGTTGTTCAATATGCAGCAGCCTACATGGTTTTGTGCAGACCTCAGTGTGCACATGTATCACCTCTCCTGCGGGAACTGCATTGGTTGCCAGTTTGCTTCTGGGTGCAATTCAAGGTGCTACTTGCCACCTTTAAAGTCCTTCATGGCTTGGGACCATCTCTTGCCAGTCATATCCACCCAACCCACTAGAGCAGGGAGGCAAGGAATGTTACGGGTCGTGTAGGTAGGTAGGACCCAGAAGAAGGACATACTCCATGATGGATCTTTCTCTTTGGGATATCGTCCCTTCAAAAATTAGACTGCCACCCCCCCATTTTGACACTCCTTTGTAAGGCCCTGAAGATTTGGTTTTGCCGGTGGACCTGGGGAACTCAGAGTGGGATGGAGCCATCAACTGGCTTATTTGACTTGTGTGTTGCAGCTGAGAGTGGATGGGTGGGTGGTTATTGTTTTTGTTTATTTTTTTTATATATTGTATTTTTATTGTTTGTAAACTGCCTAGAGTCACTGTGGGCAAGTAGGTGACTATATAAATTTTCTAAATAAACATTAACTAGAATTTGAAACAGATTCCATGAGGGCTCTTGGATAAGTATGTGAGTCAGGGAGGGATCCGTATGAGGTCGTAGACAAGTAACAAATCTATCATTGGCTAAATACAAACATTTGTGCCTTTCACTTTCTAAGTCTGCCACTTTTTGGATTTTTAAGGTTGTTCTCCCTCCCCCTCCAGATATGTATGGAGCTAGTGAACATGGAACTAGTGAACTGAAATCAGCATACATTCACCACCAGGTGGAATTGTTATATGGATATAGGCCAGTGGTGAAATCTGAACCTGTTTACTACCATTTGCTGGCTGTGCATGCGCGCTGCACGCCAAGCACATACTGTTTTGTGTGCATGCGCAGTTCACACCAAACACGTTGCGTGCGCATGCGCAGTATGCATCAAAAGGCGGCTTGGGAAGTTAAGTGAAATCAGCTGTGGTGCATGATCTTGGGAACCTTTTTAAAAACTTTTTTAAAGCATTTTTTTACTACTGGTTCAGGCAAATAGGTAGTAAAAAATGCTTTAAAAAAGTAAAAAAAAGGTTCCCAAGATCACAGCTGTGCCGCGTGATAATCGGAACCTTTTTTAAAAAACTTTTTTAAAAGTATTCACCTGAACTGGTAGTAAAAAAATGCTTTAAAAAAATTTAAAAAATGATTGCGCAGCACAGCTGTGATCTTGGGAACCTTTTTTAAACCTTTTTAAAGCATTTTTTTTACTAGCGGTTCGGGCGAATAGGTAGTTAAAAAAATGCTTTAAAAAAGTTTTTAAAAAAAGTTCCGATGATCCTGCCTTGCTCAGCTGATCATCAGAACTTTTTTTTCTCCGGAACCAGTAGTTAAAAATGCTTCAAAAAGTTAAAAAAAACAGTTCAGAAGGGTTTTTTTTACATTTTTTTACTACTGGTTCAGGTGAACCGGCTCAAACCGGTAGCATTTCACCCCTGATATAGGCTATATTTCAGGCAATCCTGAGACATACCAGGTAATGTATAATATTAAAAATAAAAGATCACTGTATTTATTCTGAAACCATTTAGTTTCCTGCATGAGTTTGAAAGGCAAGGAAAAATCAAAAGATACTTGGATTAAAATGGGCTAGGGGAATGTAGGGATCAGAAAAATGCTTTGCAACAATATTCAGGCTACAGGTAGTTCCTCGATTTATAACCATTCATTTAGTGACTGTTCAAAGTTACAATGGTGCTGAAAAACTGACTTATGACTGTTTTCATCCTTATGACCATTGCAGCATCCCCACGGTCACGAGACCAAAATCCGGTCACTTGGCAACTAGCATGTATTTATGACAATTGCAATGTCCCGGAATCATGTGATCCCTTTTTACCATATTTTTGGAGAGTCAATGAAACCAGATTCACTTAACTGTGTTACTAACTCAACAATTTGCAGTGATTCATTTAACAACTGTAGCTAGAAAAGCCATAAAATGAAGCAAAACTCACTTAAACAACTGTTTTGCTTAGCAACATAAACGTTGGGCTCAGTTATGGTTGTAAATCGAGGACTACCTGTATATTGGTACTCACCCAGATTCTGTTAGAATTGGGGCAGATTATAAATATTGAAAATAAAAATGTAAAGCATTGATTTTCTCTGCAGAGCCACTGATTTGGTGGATTTCCCACTGATTCCCTATCTTTTTGTATTACAGCTCCAAAAGTACAGAAACCCCACCCCTTAGCCCACAAGATACCATAATTCCATATTCCTTGGGAGTTTTTTCTATCACCACACTACCCTCTTGTGGTATATCATCAGATTACATTATTTGAAACAGCTGGTTGAGAAAGTCATTTTCCTATAGCCACTAGTACTGAAGATTGAGTTGGTTAAGCACTACCCAGTAGAAAGAGAGCCTTTTCATTTTATCTACTGTAATCATTCCAATTTCCCCTGCAGCGGAAGTGTATGATTTATGTTATTATCTGATCTGAACGGGTAATTTTTTAAAAAATTGCCACTGCTTTACTGACTTTTTTGGTGCACAGTCTATTTTATCCTGAAGGTCTTTTCTTCCCCCCCCCCTTTTTTTCTGTTTAAAAAGGTAAGCTCAGCTCTCAGTGACTACTTGGACTAGGATAAGAGGGTTGGAAGGGACCTTGGCGGTCTTCTAGTCCAACCCCTGCCCAAGGCAGGAATCCTCGCACTCTTTTGGACAAATTTATTGAAAATCTCAAGTGAAGGAGCAGCCACAACTCCAGGAAGCAAACTGTTCCACTACTAAATAGTTCTGTCAGGATATTCCTCCATATTTCCAGGTTGGATTTCCCTGACAAGCTTCCACTGCTTGCCTTATCCTCTGGTGCTATGGAGAATAAATTGACAGCCCGTCTTGCTATCACGTCTCCCCTTAGTCTTCTTTGTTAAGCTAAACATACCTAGTTCCCTTTACTCGTTCTTCATAGAATTTAAGTCTAGACCAGGGGTCTCCAACCTTGGCAACTTTAAGACTTGTGGACTTCAACTCCCAGAGTTCCTCAGCCAGCAAAGCTGAAGTCCATGTCTTAAAGTTGCAAGGTTGGAGACCCCTGGTCTAGACCACCTAGCATCCTTATTGCTCTTCTCAGCACTTTCTAGGGCCTCATCATCTCTTTTTTATGGGGTGACTGAACTGGACACAGTATTCCAAATGTGCCCTCACCAGTGTGGCATAGAGTTATCACTACATATAGTTCACATAGCAGCAACAGGAAAATGGATTCACACTGGCTTCTAAGGAGATAATGACTCCCCTCTCTTCCCTACAGTCTTGTAGTTTTCTGAAGTTGTCTACTCAAATTTGAGCAAGATCCAATTCTACCCAGCGTTCTCAAGGTCAGCCAGTCTGGGAGGAAAGTCAGGTTTTAAAGAGGAATGGTTAACATCATTTGTAAGATCAGAAAGGAAACTGTTGGGAGTAGTGTACAGATGAAACTCGAAAAATTAGAATATCGTGCAAAAGTTCATTTATTTCAGTAATGCAACTTAAAAGGTGAAACTAATATATGAGATAGACTCATTACATGCAAAGCGAGATAGTTCAAGCCTTGATTTGTCATAATTTTGATGATTATGGCTTACAGTTCATGAAAATCCCAAATTCACAATCTCAGAAAATTAGAATATTACATGAAATCAATAAAACAAAGATTGTACATAGAACAACATCGGACCTCTGAAAAGTATAAGCATGCATATGTACTCAGTACTTGGTTTGGGCCCCTTTTGCATCAGTTACTGCCTCAATGCTGCGTGGCATGGATGTTATCAACCTGTGGCACTGCTGAGGTGTTATGGAAGACCAGGATGCTTCAATAGCGGCCTTCAGCTCTTCTGCATTGTTCGGTCTCATGTCTCTCATCTTTCTCTTGGCAATGCCCCATAGATTCTCTATGGGGCATTCAGGTCAGGCGAGTTTGCTGGCTAATCAAGCACAGTAATCCCATGGTCATTGAACCAGGTTTTGGTATTTTTGGCAGTGTGGGCAGGTGCCAAGTCCTGCTGGAAAATGAAGTCAGCATCCCCATAAAGCTCGTCTGCGGAAGGAAGCATGAAGTGCTCCAAAATCTCCTGGTAGAAGGCTGCGTTGACCCTGGATTTAATGAAGCACAGTGGACCAACACCAGCAGATGACATGGCTCCCCAAATCAACACAGACTGTGGAAACTTCACACTGGACTTCAAGCATCTTGCAGTGTGTGCCTCTCCATTCTTCCTCCAGACTCTGGGTCCTTGGTTTCCAAATGAGATGCAAAAGTTGCTCTCATCAGAAAAGAGGACTTTGGACCACTGAGCAACAGACCAGTTCTTTTTGTCTTTAGCCCAGGTAAGACGCTTCTGACGTTGTTTGTTGTTCAGGAGCAGCTTGACGAGGAATACAACATTTGAAGCCCATATTCAGGATCAGTCTGTGTGGTAGCGGCTCTTGATGCACTGACTCCAGCCTCAGTCCACTCCTTGTGAAAGTCCCCAACACTTTTGAATGGCCTTTTCCTGACAATCCTCTTCAGGCTGCGGTCATCCCTGCTGCTTGTGCACCTTTTTCTTCCACTCTTTTCCCTTCCACATAAATTCCTATTAATGTGCTTTGATACAGCACTTTGGGAACATCCAACTTCTTTTGCAATTACCTTTTGAGGCTTTCCCTCCTTATGGAGGGTGTCAGTGATGGTTTTCTGCACAACTGTCAGGTCAAGTCTTTCCCATGATTGTGATTCCTACTGAACCAGACTGAGAGACCATTTAAAGGCTCAGGAACCCTTTGCAGGTGTTATGGCTTACTTAGCTGATTAGAGTGGGACACTTTGAGCCTAGAATATTGAACCTTTTCACAATATTCTAATTTTCTGAGATTGTGAATTTGGGGTTTTCATGAGCTGTAAGCCATAATCATCAACATTATGACAAATCAAGGCTTGAACTATCTCGCTTTGCATGTAATGAGTCTATCTCATATATTAGTTTCACCTTTTAAGTTGCATTGCTGAAATAAATGAACTTTTGCACGATACTCTAATTTTTTGAGTTTCACCTGTATTTATTACATTTGTATGCTGCCTGAACTTCAAAGCTTGACTCTACAATGGTGCTAAAAAGACAGAAACTTGTTCCCATCTGCACATTTTACAATTCAGAACTGTGGTTTATCATTGTCTGGCACATCATGGACTTCCCACTTGTGTGCCAACAGGTGTAAGCGGAGTGGGAATATTTCTTATTCACCTTCTAGCTCCTGCAACTTAGATTTTGTTGACACTGCACTGAGAATCCAGGCAAGGTCTGGGATCTGGCAAAGCATCCTCCAGCATCTTTATTTACAAGAAATTCTTTGGGCCTTGCATAAAACCTTGCAGACATGGATATGGAAAATATGTCCACCTTTGTGGGGAGGGTCACAAGATAAGCTAGAACTTCCTGGGAACAACAGAAAACAATTCAAGTTGCTTTCAGGTAGAATAGTTGTTTTGACTTTTCATGCTTAATATACCAGCCATTTTTATGTTAGGGCTTCTTCTTATAGCAGCCATTTTGTGAAAGTATCCTTCACATGCTTTAACAATCCTAAATGTGCCCAACAGGCCGAATTACCACATTATATTATTCCTTTTCACAGACACTGGTAGCTATTATTTATATAGTGTTTTCATTTAGAGAAAACAGTATACTTATTTTAAAATAAAAATTTGAAAACTATCTGCCAGCAAATATAATTTTTCTCTTAATACAGCTTTTAAGGAAGAATTCTCAAGATAATAGGGAAAGAAAAGTTAAACCAGTTAACCTGACATTCAACCACTCTTCCTGCCAATACTTTGTTATTGCACATACCAGATTTTTAATCAGGTCTGTGCTGAAGCATGATTGATTGGCTTTATGTCGGTGGGTGGTATGGTAATGCAGTTTGGTCAAACATCATTCAAGAACCAGTTGGTGGTTAAAGGCAGGTTTGAAATTGAGAGACTGTGAACTCGTCCTTAGTGCCCCCCAACCCCCAAGCTAGCTGTGTAGCTATGGGCTACTCTTTCTCTCCACCCTAGGAAAAAGGCAACAGCAAAGCACTTCCAAATAGAAGAGCAAAAACTGATAAAAAGAAAATATTCTTGTGTGGAAGATGGAAAATGCAACTACTCTGAAAGAAGATGGGGAAACGCATGCTTTAACACAAGTAGATGTTACAGTGAAGCGATCTTTAAAAGTATTCAAATGGGTACTTTTTCTCCTTTTTGCGTAAGTACTGTCTGGTGAAAAGAAATCCATCCCTTAAAAATGAAAACAAACATAATCGTATCAGAATGAGTTTTGGACCTGATTTTATTTAATAAAGATGTGAATCACAAGGCAACCGAAGTTACATAGATAAAGTATCACAGCACTTGCAAAAGTCCTGTGACCCATCTAGTCCTGAGATGAGATGTTCAATAGGGAACAGGGAATGGAAAAGTAAGTCAGAAATGAAAAATGGAAGAGCCAGGGATTTTATATATAAGGCATAACACAGACCCATCAGAAACTTAACAGCAACTATTTGATCTACTTAAAAAATCAGCCCCAATAGGGAAAATTGCATAATGCAATGCTCTTTGTTTCTCCCAGTAAACATCTGATCCATCAGGATGGGATTAAGTATCTAAGGGAACTCCATTCAATAAAACCAATTCTTATTCTTATTGATATTCTCAGAAAAATGGAGCCACATTAGCTAGAAAAGGTCCTTTAGGGAGGGATGAGTTGGGAAATTGACAAGGATGAAGATGACAACGGAAAAGAAATCCCAAGAGAATATTTATGGGCCTCAAAGGTACAGTATCCAAAAGCCCAGAATTCTCATTCTGTCAGTCATCTGCACGGTTCAGAGGCAATCGCTGTTTCATTTCTTTGTCTGTTTTATGACAAGACTGTCGCTGGAAGAAAAACAAAGACATAACAAAGAACTGTGAGAAACGTACCACAATATGGGCTTGGGGACCAAGCATAAAATCAAGCCTTAATTTTTATGGTTAACACAGAACAAGAGTAATTAAGGGTTTAAACATATATATGTAATTTGGTGGAGTAATTCCTTGAGGCAGAAAAGCATATTTGTCCTATGCTGTTGTTTAATTTCTACAATGTTTTGTAATTGTTGTTTGGATATAGAAATTCTGTATTTTTTCTATTTTTCTTCAGCCTGCTCCATGATGGGAGTAAAGTTAACTCAGCTTTGGATAACTGATTTTATTAAGGGAAGAGAGACAATGATGTCAAATGTCTGAGAAATTTACTCTAAATCCCTTTGTAACCAAACCTTGCCTGATTAACTCATAAAATAATAATCATTTAAATGAAAAATGCTAAGAATGGAACCACTAGAAAACCTTCCTTTTCTTTTTTTACTTCATTTATGGAAGACTATAACAAGCTGTTCTTGAACATGTTCCTTCCTACTTTTTCAACATTTTGTCCTAATGTCATCATCATCAATTTTATATGCAACCTGACTCTTAACAAATCTGGGTGGTTTATAAATCATTAAACACTATTAAAAAGAAAGAAAACCCCAAATGAAACATAAAGTTAACAGCTTACTGTATTAATGAATATTTTATATAAAAGATTCTTATTTAAATATAATACAGGCACATAACATTTCACATTACATTCTAAACTACATATCTTTTTAGATAAACATTTAAACAAGGTCTGCTCAATTCATGTGAAAGACTATGGGTCCTTCCTCCGTACTTTTATGAACACCACCTAATTGCTATGAAACTATTAACGGAACTGGAATACCAGCTAAAGATTGCTGTCATAGATGTTCTGGGAAGCTATACCTAGTTTGTTCATTTTGGCACTTCACTTTCTACAGTTTGAAAGTAAGTACAATAACTTTGTAATACTATTAGCCTGGAGAAAATATAGCTTTGAATTCAAAACTTATTGTACTTTGGAGATGACAATGACCACATTTTTGTACCCTGGATGGAGTGCTTGGTCAAGCTGGACACAGAGCAACTTTCCATGCAGTTTCAGCTGAAAAGCACTGGAGGTTTTTTATTTTCAGTAGAAGAAAAAGGAAGAGTGGTGACTTAATCTCCTCTTGATCCCACTATTTGTCAGTTCAAGATTTCTCCATAGAAATAAAAAAGCATGTGGAGCTTAAAGTTTTTCATAAACTGACTTTCTCAAGGGGGAATAAAAAGTTTGGATCAGAAAAATAGCCAGCCTGTCCTCCAAAGTGGGTGGGAAAAAACTATGCAAAACCCATCCAGGCAACTCTTATTAAATTCATAGTTCCTGTCATATCTTACTTTCTGTGTGCTTCTCTCCTCACCACTATAATTCCCAGCTCTCTAGATGACTTCATATTTGCCATGGTCCTGTTTTACATCTATCAAAATCTAGGAAGATGATTCATCAAGACTTTTAACTAATTAAGGTTTGTGTATGGATAACATAAAGACATTGCAGAAAAAAAGCACTATTTCAGTTGATGCCTTCTCAGAACAAGAACTTCTCTTTCACTCTCACAAGAGTGGGACTGTGTATTCCAAACAACAGATGCTGCAATATCTACCGCCTACAGCTTTTATAAATATATCATGTAGCATTACCAAATGAATCAGAAATAACTTCAAGTCATTTTCTCAAATTAAAGACTGTATGAAAGAGATGTGTCTTACCTTCCTCTGGATCCGGATCAACACATAGTAGCACCAGAAGAGAGAGGACAGAGAAGAAAAGGATTAGAAAAATTTACAACGGCTGTTAAACCTCAGTGTTTATGACACATGCTTTGGGACTTGGATTTATGCTACACACAGAGAGCAAGATATATTATTACATTTATATTCTTTGCTCTTCTTCAAAAAAGCAGCATAAAATAAACAGCTTCCTAGTCCCCATCCTACCACTTCTTTCTACAGTCTACTACAGTCTTTTGAACTTTCCCTAAATCATCTTAAACTACAACTCATCACTGGGGAAAATCTAAACTCTGTAGATCAGTTACTTGGATATTCACAAGCCACTCACCTTGTAAAACTTTCCTCCTGTAGATTAAGCACTAAATTGTCAGCTGTAAGATACACACGGTTTTGAGATGCTGCAATCTGTAAAATGTTCAGGGCAGTGGATAAAAAAGGCAGTTAGCAAAAATCCTGAAACACATGAGGGGGGGGGGGGGGTGGCAGAAACATACCTAAGCACAGAAGTTTCTTTCAATATTTAGAGGATCCTTCCCTAATCTCATCCCCTCCAGGGGTTTGCAGCTTTAATTCCTATGATCCCCTTCAAGCATGGTGCATGAACATAATGAAGTGTAGTGTAACCAGAATGGAGTGGGTTGGGAAAGACTGATGTAATAGCACCTAAACCATGAGAGTCGCCATGCACAAGAAAAAAGCAAGGTCTCTGTAGAAGGATGCTATGGACAAAATTATCTCTTCCCTTTTGAAAGTTTATTAATTCTTTTGATGTCCTCAGTATGGGCTGTTTGATCAGATCCCAGAACACAAGACAATGGGTGTGGAATTTTAATTTGTTTTCTGTCACAAATTTCAGATAGATCCAGGTCCATCAGTATTCTAAACGCCCAAATTCATTCTGCTTCTCCATCTGTTTTTGTTCCTGCTGTGAGCCTTTTCCTAGTCTGTGACACATGTTCTGCAAGTGACCACGACTGGGTATAGCCCACTGAAATGATGTGGGCCTGCTCTTACAACAAGAGTCAAAGTCTTCTTGGCTCTTGCTAAGATGGGGGAGATCAGCAGGCGCTGATGGTAAAAATGAACATCAGGAGAAGCATATCATATTCGCCTTGCATTCATCACTTGGCCTGGTACAATGCGAAAGCAGCAGCTGAGGGTGTACATGTCTACATATGTGTGTGTGTATATACATGAAAGCAAATCCACTAGTCCAATACTCACCGTTTTGGAGATATTCTGGGCAGCACGGATCTTGCGCAGCTTGATGTAACCTGGGTTCTTGCTGAGGGCTTCTCCAATGTGAGTAATCAGTTAAGGTTGCATTTCTTAAAAGTTTTGAACTCAGGCTCATCTTTTGCCATCCCCTCAGCTATGTTTAAGTTGAATCACTTTACCTGAAACCACACTATGTGAAGATTAGCATGCTCTGGCAGTCTACTGCTGCATCCAAAGTGCCTGAAACCTTTAGCAATCTTTCCCCCTCACATCAAAGCAAGGATATCATTTTAGCAGCTGTGGCTTCACCTTCAGCCTGAACAATCTTCTGCCTTTGTTCTTGCTTTGCTTTTTCCACAAGGAATTGTGCTCGCTGAGCCTCCTGCTGGGCTAGAGTACAGAGAAAAATTAGTAACTTGGCAAGAACCAGAGTAATGTAATACACATGTGGAAATGCCAGGATGTTGCTAATTATTTATGGTATTTATTAAATATTCAGTCACAAATAAATTACTGGACTTTTCAGCTTGGAAAGCCAAATACAAACCTCCAGCTTTTTGGACAGTCTTTAATTTTATATTCTGCCTTTATTATTTTTATAAACAACTCCAGCCAGTGAACTTATCTAATACTCCTATTTTCCTCATAACCCTGTGAGGTGAATTAGGTTGAGAGTCAGCGACAACCACAAGGTCACCCAGCTAGTATTACAATGGATTACATGATATTACAATAAATAAACATTATTCTTTATTTGAAATAAATCTCCCCAAACTCTTCAACTCATCAACTGCTTCATAAAGATTCAGATTTTTCATCATCCCTCAAATATTTATATGAAAATAATACTGAACTAATACTAGAAACAACAACAGATAGGTGAATAAAAATACCAAAACCAGTCTAAACATCTATCTGACTGTGGAATCAACCATAATAATAAAAGAGATAGTGAGATTGACCATTTGGAGAACCCCAATTTAAAACAAGAGCCCAACCTTTTTTCATGCAGAGAACTAATATAGCATTTGAGTAATGTGCTGTAGGAAGCATCATTTTAAGAGTGGGATTAGAACACTAAATAGTTTTTCAATTCTTCCAATTGCTTACATTAAATTACAATATGACTGGCATTAAACTGATCTCACTTTAAAAATACTTTTAAAATATTCAACTTTAAAATTAACTGATTTACACCTACACCCTATCTTATAAAAATTATGTGGGAAGTAAATTCAATTAATGTAATGGTCTCAATATTCCACTCTAGCTCATCTTCAAATTAAATTGATTTCTTATCAAACAAAATGGAAAAAAACCTAACCACTGAGTGATCTGACATTAAATCACAGGTGGTCTACTGTGGATAATCTGGAATCCAATTCAGGAGAATGGAAGAGCAGGAATTGAGGACAGAGGGGGAAAGTATGGCTGCCACAGAAAGCAAAAGTCAAAAGGACCAAAGACAGGAGCCAACATAATATAGGTAGGTTATGCTACAGTCTATGACAAGAGTAAAAGCAAATGGTTCAAATGACGAATCCATGTGAATCATGGAATAAACAGCCCTCCTTCAAAAAAACAGGCAATTAAAAATGACATTGGAAAATGATGTAAAGTGTGCCTTCTAGTGTTCTTGTCAATCTTACCAGCAGTAACCATAGGTGGTGTCTGTTCCTATATAACAAAGTAACATGCTACATAAATATACTTTTGTGTGTTTCTGTTCTCTCCTGTTACATCTGTGTGCATGTGTGCACTCAGAAACTCAAGGTGGACAGCATACACCCTATTCTGGATTATAAGGCAGGAGAATTGGTTAGTACAGAATTTACCAATACTTTGAGCAGCTGCCCACCTGCCTCTCATATGTTCATGTGTTGAAAGAATTTTTCAGGAATATTATTCCCCGCAGCCCTTTGTTAGCATGATCTTATTTTCAAACCATCTTCTTTTTTCTGGTTTCTTCAGCTGTTACAGTTTCCTTTAACTTAAGCATCAACTCACCCACTTGCTTGGATTCAACTGCTGCTGTGTATTCTCGGCTAAAACTCAGCTCTGTAATAGCTACGTCATCCAATATAAGGCTAAAATCCTTTGCTCGCTCCGTCAGTTCCCGTCGGATAAGCAAAGATACCTAAAAAAATAAACCCACAGTTCTTGCTCAAAGGAATTTCCCTTTGCCCAGAAAGTCACAAAATCATAAAAATCATAGAATCATGTTGTTGAAGTGACCATTTAAATCCTTGCACACTATCCCTTTGGTACAAGAACCTACCCCCTCATGCTCCAACACATCTCAGCAAGAGGACTCCAACACCTGTCTGATTCAATTCTATTGTTAAACTGCTGTTACCGTTTGATATTTAAACATAATATGCCTTCCTGTAATTTTGGATAGTGGGATGAGCAACATTTAAATCTAACAAACAAACTTAAAAAGTCATAAATCAGAACTGTCTTTTAAAGTGTTTTTTCCTCAATTTCAGCTTTTCAGGTATCTGAAAGGTGGTATCACATCCCCATCACTTTTCTCTTTTAAAGACTACTGTATTTTTTGGACTATAAGACGGACCAGAGTATAAGACGCACCAAGATTTTGAAGAGGAAAACAACAAAAAAAATTCGTTTTTGACCTCCATGTGTCTGGTTTTTGCCCTCCCTGGCCCCCAGGAGCACTCTGCAGGCCTCCCAAGCTCTCTGTGCATCCCGTTTTTGTGAAAAACAGGACGCACAGGATGGGCTTTCGGGAGGCCAAAAATGGCTGTATTCGGTCTATAATATGCACCAACATTTCCACCCTCTTTTAGAGGGGAAAGAAGTGTATACTCCAAAAAGTATGGTAAATATTCGCTATCCTTTCAGTCTCTTTTTATAATACCTTATTTCTAATTATCCAATGGTATTGCCTTTTTCTGACCTTATTTTGTAAATTCTTACATTCTTAAGAAGAATAAGTTTTTCTAAAACGATTGGCCATAATTCTTAAAGAACTGGGCTTACTACTGGTTTTTCAAGATGGCTGCTGCACAGTTAGTTTCTTTTTCCTCTTACTGATGATCTGCTAATTTCACTGCTAAAGCTGGTTCTTTGGCAGTGCTGCTTCCTGGTTTTGAACAGGAGCACTTAGGAGTGAGCCAACTTTTGGACGATAGTTGATCAAGTGGGCAAGGTGGGTCTTGAAGATTCCAATTCTCTCTGGAAGTGATCAAAAAGTCATTGGGCATATCCATCTTCCTATCAAAGTTTTGTTTTCTAAGCACACTGGAATTTTAACTTTCACTTTTTGACTTCTTTTATTTTGCTTATTGTTTTAGTTGATTAATGGTTGGGTGCTGATTTATTTCAACCCGTTGCTGGACTCTTAATTGCTTTTTCTCTCCCCCCCCCCGCCCTTTGATATATGTTGTTCTGGATATCCTGTCCCTTCCATAAACACCATGTTTAGCTAGGGATTGTAAAGTTCTCAGACTCTCATTGCTGGTTTCTGTATTTTGTGAATTTGCAAAGCACCTGGAGTTTATTTCCATTGAACTTTTCTTATAACCTTGGATTGAAATATAAAGACAAACATACTTGTTCCCTGGATAAGTTTCATAGATTAAGATGGCTGAACAGTTTCTGAAACCTGAGAAAGCAGGGTAGTGAAATGTGCAGCTCCTTAGCTGGATTCCTTCTCAAAAACTTGACAAACTTTAATGATTGTTAAAAGAATGTTAAGATCTAAAACTTTATCTTTGGATATGGCTGAAGATACACAAAAGGACTTTGATCCAGTTCCAGATCAAAGAGATAATTTCATGGCTGGAGAACCAGCAAAGTGGATTTTATCTGCTGTTTCGAAGTTTAAGTCTGCACATTCTTTTAACTTGGCTTTGACAACAAGGGAGAGAGATAGATTCCTACAAAGTCTGAAGAAGACTGGATGGATTTATTACAGTTAATTGGCAATTACTTCTTAGTGCACTTTGATTGTAAGATAAGACCTATTTTGGAGACTGAATTTACTATATTAAATAACAATTGACTAGAGAGGATATTAAGAAACAAACATGGATATTTGATCCAAGATGATTTATTTATAACTTTTGGGATGATTTGAGATAGATAAGATGCTGTAGTACGAGTGGATTGCAATAGCCTGTTAACAAAGAGTTTTGAAACTTTAATTTTGTTTTGTTTTACTAATATTTTTTCTGTTAACTACTTGGTCATTAATATAACATATAGAAAACAGGTCAAGTTGCAAATAGATTTAGTAGTTTAAACATTTTTGGAGGGCTTGTTTTGCAAGTGGTGGGAACTCATGTTGCAGTAATGTATTAATCAGTATTCAACTAGAGGGGATAATGTGTGTACAATGTCTTTTTGAGGCACCTTTTTAATGCTTTGATTCTTTTGTGGTTTTTTTTATCCTTTTGGATTATTATTTTTTTGAGTTCTGTATTTTGTATTTTAATCTTGTTTTGAATAAAATAAAAACTTGTGAAAAAAAGAACTGGGCTTAATAATCAATGCAGGATCTGAACAAAGCAGAATAAAAAATATCCTAAAACTACATTTAATACTTTTGCAGTCACATTGCACTACTTGTCTATGCACATCTGCTAAATTTCTTGTCTAAAGGAAATTTGCAAAAGATCTCATTTATTCCCTAAATAATTGCTTAATACATACCATATTTTTTGGAGTATAAGACGCACCTTAGTTTTTGGGGAGGAAAATAGGAAAAAAAAAAATTCTGCCTAATAGTATTCCATCTGGCTAGCGTCCTTAGTCTGGTCAGCTTCAGCACATTAGTTTGCTGGTTTTGAGCGTTGGGGATAAAAAACAGCTTCTAAAGCACAGCTAGAAGCAATGAGAAAAGCAGACAAAGTGCAGAAGATCGCTTCACTCGCTAGCATCTCATTAGGGCTGAAAAACAGCTTCTAAAGCACAGCTAATCCTTGGAGGGAGCAGCAATGAGAAACCTTCACTTGCTAGCGCCTCATTAGGGCTGAAAAACAGCTTCTAAAGCACAGCTAATCCTCGGAGGGAGCAGCAATGAGAAACCTTCACTTGCTAGCGCCTCATTAGGGCTGAAAAAAAGCTTCGAAAAAGCTACATTCGGAGTATAAGACACACCCAAATTTTCAGCCTCTTATGGGGGAGGAAGTGCGTCTTTTACTCCGAAAAATATGGTAAATCATCTGCAATCAGCAAACTATTGGACACAGCTGTGAAAAGTAGGATTAAGTGCAAGAAGACAGGCCTGGTATCAGAAAAGGACAAACCTGAGCTCGTTGGGTAATGAGCTGTGATGCATTAAACTTTGCTACCACACTTTTGAGTACTTCATTGACAATGGAAGGAAGAACCCGTTCTTCATAGTCTAGTCCAAGTCGTTGATATAAGCTGGGCAATTCTATAGCATTGGGTCTTGATAGAACACGCAAGGAGATATTCACCATCTGTAGATCTAGAGTTGAAATTAAGTCAACCACAATCTCTAAAGTGCATTTTATTTCTCAAGTCTGATTATATATCCAATTACACCACCCAGAATCAATTATTCTGAAGTTCTTAATTTACATTCTGGCCAGAGAACTGTGTGCTCTTCCATGAAGTACAAACAGAAGGATGTCAAAACTGATACAAAATGCAAAATTCAAAATTATGGAAGCACAAATCCTATCTACCACATAATGCACCACTCATAGATTTAAATTATTTTTTTTTTAATTTTGATTTATATGCCGCCCTTCTCCAGAGACTCAGGGCGGCTGACAATGTGCTCAGCAATAGCCTTCATCCTTTTGTATATTTATACAAAGTCAGCTTATTGCCCCCACAACTGGGTCCTCAATTTACCTACCTTAGAAAGGATGGAAGGCTGAGTCAACCTTGAGCCTTGGCGAGATTCGAACCTGCAGTAATTGCAGGCAGCTGGTCTTAATAACCAGCTTAATAACAGGGTGCCTCAGACCACTGTACTACCAAGACTCTTGTGACATCATTCTTAGTACAAGCTTCACTGCAGCATTGTTATAAAAACTAAAGATAGAGAAATATCTACATACATAATCCTGACTTCTTAGGAAGTAACAACTCTGTTCTTACCTTTGGATCCTGTTGGTGAGGAAATTTTGCGGGGCCGGGCTCGAATATCATAAATTATTGGATACTGGAACCAAGGAATTCTGTGGAGATTAGCAAAGATTATAACTGAATGAGATGTAAAAAAAATTGTATGCCTCTTACTTGGGAGATATAAATATCACCACATAACTTACACCTTACACTTTAATGAAAAAAAAAAATTCTGAAGGTTTTAAAAGCACTATCTTAACAGAAATTATATCAATGAGGGTTTTCTTAGGGAAACTTTAAAAAAAAATATTGCCAAGCTGAAGTAATATTAAATTAGATTTGGGGGAAATAGGATCTATTTGGAAACATTGATATGAGGATAATATTGTTTTGAAATTCCCTGGTAAATGCTTTTTTCCCCCTATTACACCACCTATAAGGAGCCTGAGTGGCATAGGAGGCTAATGCCTCCTACTAAGGCAGCATTTAACATCCAGCTGCCTGCAATTTTCACCAGGCTCAAGGTCGACTCAGCCTTCCATTCTTTCTAAGGTGGGTAAAATGAGGACCTGGTTTGTGGGGGCAATATGCTGACTTTGTATAAAATATAGAAAAGTATGAAGGCTATTGCTTAATGCATTGTAAGCCGCCCTGAGTCTCCGGAGAAGGGCGGCATATAAAAATAAATAAAAAATAAAATAAAATAATCCCCTAGATGAGTACCTGAAATGAAGTCCCTCTGAAAGAATAGTATCCTGCTGAACTCCACCAATGCGGTTGAAGAATATTGCTCTTTGACCCCCTTCCACTGCAGAAATCAAGAGCATTCTGGTGTTATCATCAACAGTTGAACAAAAGAGAGATATTAAAGAATTAATTAAAGAATTAATAAAAGTTACCTTACCTGTAAAGACAGACTCCCGGATTCCATAGGCTGCAGCTCCAGCACCCAAGAGCAACTTTAAAGCTGTGCTCATTCCACGAGGGCCAGTAGGCAGGCGGCCAGCAAAGTCCTTCAGGCTCTGAGCCATGGCAACCTTGTTATGGAGGCAGGTTCACAATTAAACAATTACACAATTCTGCAAAATTTCTTTCTGATTAAGCTTGGAGGGAGAGGTGGACTGGTGTTGTTTAAGTATTTTATGTATGCAATTATCTCTGGATAAAGAATTCTGCACTGAGAACCACACCAACACGAGTGATGCTAACCACTTATACAGACCACGATAAACGTACTTCCCATAGCTAGATATCTAAACAAGATGTTATGATAAAGCAGCCCTTCTTTACTGCTAGGACGCCAAGAGCAAAAGTTAAGTTTTCATTAAGGAACATCACCTCGTGCAGAAGTTGCAGGCTTCTAAAAAGCCACGCACCCCCGGGGTAATGCAAACGAATTCAGCGCCGCCGCCCCCCCCCCCCCCGACTTCGTTCAGCACAGCGGTTAAATCATGAATAAAATCCCCCCATTCCACAGCCCGCCCCTTCTTTGAACGGTCTCATTAAAGCACCGAATCAACCAGCCGCTCCCTTCCCCGACATGCCTGCTGCCCCTTCACTAAAGAGGACTCATCCTCGGAGAAGCAGGCGGGGGCTCTGAAAACGCTTCAGCGCTCCTCTCAGAAAACCTCACGGCAGCCGCCTCCGAGGATAACCAACCCTCACCCTCGTTCGCCAGTCACGCCGCCAAGCTGGAGAGAAGGACACAGGAAACGGCGGGCTCCGAAAAAGCGTTTCCGGGTCAGGCGGCCCGGGCCGGAAGGGCTTTTCCGCTGGCGCAGGCGCGGCCTTCGAGCACCTCGAGGCAGCCCGGAAGCCTAGGGGCGCTTCGTCATTTGCGGCTCGGCCCCTCTGGAAATGCAGCGCGTTCCCCTGCGAACAGTGCGGGGCTTGGTTTCCATCCGGGGCTGCTCGAGCGCCTTGAAGCCAAAGGGCAATTCGGGAACAGGAAGTGGCTGACCCTGGAAGAGGAAGCCGCTGAGCCCGTGGGAGAAAGGCGCGAGTTCGCCGCTTTAAAGATGGCGGCGGACCCCGTGAGGAAGCGTCCCCATCCGGAGGGAGGCTCTGCGGACGGTGAGGGGTTTGATCCCCGCCGCGCCGGGAAGAGGCGGCTGGTGGTGATCCTGGAGGGGGCGTCGCTGGAGAGCGTCAAGGTGCGGGCAAGCGCTGCTGGCCACTGTCCGGGAGAGCGCTGGGCAAACCTTTAAGCCCGGGGAAGAGTACGGAGGTGGGTCCGGGAGGAGAAGCGGCGTTGAACTCCCCTTCCGAAGCAGTCGCCAAAGCCAAAAGCTGCTTCGGGATGGGCGGGAGTGGCTTCATCGCCTTTCTCGGAAACACGTTGGATTTCATCTGTGTGAGGGAGAAAGATCCTGTTCTGATGGCAGCGTTTCTCGGCCAGCAATTCCCAAGCTGGTTATGTCCACGTGCGGAGCGAGAGCAACCACCGGAATCGTCACTCTGGATTCTGGAAATTGTAATCCCAACATTTGGACGGCTTTAAAAAAAAAAATGCCGGGAAGAAGAACCGAGGGGAGGTATTATAGCTATATGGAGCCGTATTATCAGAGGCGATATATTTATGCATAGGTGTCTTTAAGGTCATAACTAAGTATGGGATGCAGAGTCTTAGTTTCTGAAAATACTGTGTTAGATTAAGAGCACTGATAAGGGGAATTCTCTTGAGAAATAAAATTGCCATTTCCTCCCACAAATTCAGTTTATGGAGTGCCATAAGATGCGTTATACAGAACTTAAATGTCTCTTGCTTATGAACCAATGGTGTAGAATCAGAGTGTTCAGAAGCCAATAGAAAAGTTTATCTAGTAGTATGGATGGGAGCTTTTCCTAATTTGGCACTGTTTTATTGTTTTAAGGTTGGGAAAACATATGAATTGCTTAATTGTGACAAGCATAAATCCTTGCTTCTGAGGAATGGCAGAGACCCTGGAGGAGTTCGACCAGACATCACCCACCAGGTATTCTATGCAGGTTTAAGTCCAGTTTTATGGCCCACCTCTGTTCCTGAAATATTAATTGGGAAATTACATAAATGAAAACGCAAGAAATGCTGGCAATTCTATTTTTGAATCAAACCACAAATGCTCATTTTTATTTTTTCACTATCAGCTCTTTGTTTTATACACACACACACGCACACACACACACACACGCACACACACACACACACAAATACTTTCTTCAGGAACTGTTCTTTCTCAAATATTCTTTACAATAGTCATTAATTGTTCTGAGACAGGGGTGTCAAACTGGAAGCCTGCGGGCAGGATGTGTCACGCATAGGCCACGCCCACTCCAGCTCCACGAAGGGAAAAAACAATGTGACGCCGCAAGTTTGACATCCGTGTTCTGAGATACTTCCTAGATTTTGCTTTCTAAATAGGTACGTGTATGATTTTCCATTTTTTAATTTAGAGTCTCTTGATGCTCATGGATAGTCCTTTGAATCGAGCTGGCCTTCTCCAAGTATATATCCATACAGAAAAAAACGTTCTTATTGAAGTCAATCCACAGACAAGAATTCCTCGCACCTTTGATCGTTTTTGTGGTCTTATGGGTAAGAAATGCAACTAAGATACATCGCCCTGAATTAAGTATACTGAGCAATGTTTGTCTGTGGATCTTTGTAGACTATTAAACTAGTCTAGTTTGGGATCTTTTACTGGTACAGGTGCACAGTCTTGCAGAATGTTTATATGGGGTAACCTAAATAGTTATATTTCCTGGTACTGTTAGTTTATAACCTGTCCATCATTTAGCATAACTTACTAAAACAATGGATTTTCCAGCACTGTTTCTGGAACATATTTGCCTTTTTGTTGAGCATGGAAATACAAGATGTTTTATATTCAGTACAAGAAGTAAGATCTTAAAGAGGAACAAATAAAAGGTTGGAATTATGCTGGGAATTGAACTATAAAAAGTTGGTGAAGTTCACTGTAGTTTACATATAATTTAATGAAATACATGGATGTGATTATGTTCCATCTATTTTATATTTATGTCATTAACATTTTACCATGTGGCACCATTTTTAAAAGGGTCAAAGGCTCCATATATGGTCCTGAGTCTTACAGTCACTTGTGCTTTACATTGCAAATGAGAATCCATTCAACCTCTTAATGGGTAGACAACCTGGCTTTCTGTATGATTCTGCACTTTATCAGTCCATTGGTCTGGTAAGAAGGCTAGAGCGCCATCATCTGGGTTTAAAATAATATTACCTTATGTGTGCTAAATTAAATCACTTTACCTTTCTGGGGCTGATAAATGGATATTAGTTTTCCCTGTCAGGTCATATTTAATTACCATATATACTCGAGTATAAGCCGAGTTTTTCAGCACATTTTTTATGCTGAAGAAGCCCCCCTCGGCTTATACTCGAGTGAGGGTCCCACTTACCTGCAGTGCAGGTGTTCTCCGGTCTCTCCCGCTCATCTGTGGGCGCCTGCAGCCTCTGTGGGTGGTTCGATAACTGCTGATATCACTGCTCTTCTCCCGGGCTGTGACCAATGACGTAGCCTTTATAGTCTTACCCGTGCTTGGTCATGCCCCCTTGCTCCGCCCAAGCATTGCTGAATACAAGTACCGGTATATCTCTGGTCTTGGATATACAGTACGTTTATTTAGGATTTTTACTCTTGTTTTTAGCTTGGTTGCTGATTGAGCTATTTTTGAAATTTACCGGTAGCTGCTGCATTTCCCACCCTAGGCTTATACTCGAGTCAATAAGTTTTCCCAGTTTTTTGTGGTAAAATTAGGTGCCTCGGCTTATATTTGGGTTGGCTTATACTCAAGTATATATGGGGTAGGTGGTCATGAATTATGCATTAGTTTGTGGAAAAAGAAAATATTCTGAAAACCACTGCTTGTATGGGATAAGTTGCAAGCAACTAACAGTATATGCTTCTGTATTCTCAATGTTTCTTTGTCTCTCCTTAGTTCAGCTGCTGCATAAGTTTAGTGTCAGAGCTGCTGATGGCCCTCAAAAGCTGTTAAAGGTAATAATTCTACTATGATTCTATAGAAGATTAATTATGTTTCTATTACCAGCTTAATCCAGCTTTTCTTCTGTAGGTCATAAAGAACCCAGTGACAGATCACCTCCCTGTGGGCTGCGCAAAAATAGGCACCTCTTTCTCAGCCCCTCAGGTGACAGACATTCGTGACCTAGTCCCTACTGCAGACCCTATAGCCATAATCGTGGGAGCGTTTGCTCATGGATCGGTAAGGCTTGTATATGTTCTTAGACTGTCTTTATTTGTTAGCCAGTGATCTCACCTCCATCTTGAGGTTCTGGCAGCAAAGGTAATTCAGGTAGCCCTTGATTTACAACCACAATTGACCCCCAAAATTTCTGTTGCTAAGCAAGACATTTGTTAAGTGAGTTTTTTCCCATTTTACAATCTTTGTTGCCACATTTGTTAAGTGAATCACTGCAGTTTTTAAGTTAATAACACAGCTGTTAAGTTGATTTGGCCTCTCCATTGACTTTATCAGAAGGTTGCAAAAGGTGATTACATGACCTCAGGACACAGCAACTGTCATTAATATGAATCAGTTGCCATGCATCTGAATTTTGATCAATTACCATGGGTAAGCTGCAACAGTTGTAAGTATGAAAAATGCTAATGTTATATTTTTCAGTGTTGTTGTGTCTTCAAATTGGTCTAAATCAAGGACTACCTATATCAGTGATGGCTAACCTTTTTGCCATTGCGGGCCAGGAGAGGGGGGATGGGGGAGGGGCATGCGCGTGTGCCCACACCGATAATTCTATGCGCCCTGCCCTGTGCATGCATGCGCAAACACACACACCCCTGCTCCTGGCATGCAATGGCCTGGTAGGCCCGTTTTTCTTTCTTACCTGGTTCCAGATCCTCTCTATTTATCTGGGAAGGGAGAAAACAGCCTTTCTCACTCCCTCAGAGGCCCACCGAAGGCCTGAAACGGCCTATTTCCAACTCCCAGTAGGACAGGAAGTGACGTTTTTTGCTGTCCCCAGCCTCTCTAGGAGTCTCTGGAGGCTGGGGACAGCAAAAAACATCAATTGCTGTCCCTCCGGGAGTTGGGAAATGGGCCGTTTCAAGCCTTTGGAGGGCCTCCGGGGGAGTGGGAAAGGCTGTTTTCGCCCTGTGCAGATGCAGAGAGAGGATCTGGAGCCAGATAAGAAAGAAAAACGGGCCTTCCCCAGCCCCTCCGGAGGCAGGAAACAGCCTGTTTCCCTACTTCTGGTGGGCCCAGAAGGACCAAAAATCAGCTGGCCGGTGCGCGCATGACGCCAGAGCTCAGCTGGCGTGCCCACTGATATGGCTACACCATCACGGACCTATATTGCCCCTTGTTATAGAACTGGATTAAGTGTCTTAACGTGAGGGTGGGAATACTAGAGGGATAGTGCTAATAGTCACTAATTATGGAGTTGATTTTTTTGAGTGCACCAATTTACAGAGTTAGAGACAGAAATCTGTTTTCTGGAAAGTTAGATCATTTGTCTAATTTATATTCTCATCTAGATATTAATGTAACCTATATGCTTTAGAAACTTGACTGTCATTGTTCTTTTTTAGCTTAATGTTGACTACACAGAAAAGACCATCTCTATCAGCAACTATCCACTCTCTGCTGCTTTGACTTGTGCTAAAATCACCACAGCTTTTGAAGAAATGTGGGGAGTGGTATAAACTTCCTGTTTTGCTTATAGATTCGTAGCCTATGATATTTTGGTCAACAGGCTCTTTGTTGTAAATGTTACGTACTGTACCCTTATTTATGGGAAATACATCCTTAATTACTTTTTTGTAGTAAATAAATAATTTTTGTATATAGCAGTATTAGCACTTCATAGTGCTTTACAGCCCTCTCTAAACGGCATACAGAGTCAGCATATTGCCCCTAACAAATGGTCCTCATTTTACCAACCTTGGAAGGTTGACTCAACCTTGAGCCGGTCAGGATTGAACTCCTAGCAGTGAGCAGTTTCGCTTGCAATACTGCATTCTAACCACTGCACCACCACAGCTCTTAATTCATGATTAGCAATAGTTGCTGTATATTTCCACCAGGTTTTCCACCCCATTTCTTTTTCCTCCCCAAAATTATTTTAATCAAAAAATAAATATGAAACTGGTATGGCACAAAGCCCTAACTTCTAGCATCTTATTTGTTTATTCAGTTTTTTAGGCCCTTTAAAATGTCCTCTGGGATTATAGAAAACTTCTGGAGACTTAATTTTCCTTTGTGATTTGCTATGCTTTTGCCATGACAGTCACATACAACTGGCAAGTCTCAAGACAGTGTTTTCACCTATACCCAGTCTAAAAAAATACTTCCCTGCTTCTCCATGAACTATGGCAAGTCTGTTGAATAAACAGTTTTGGAGGCTAAAGACCACTGAATAACATCAATACCATCACTGTTTCCAAAGGTAGCCTCACAGTCCAGTGATGCCAAACTGATAAGATATGCATACTATTTTGTTACTTGCCCTCCTGAAGATGCCTGTGACTGTTTTGTCTCCTCCAAGTGATCAGGAGAAATAGAATTATCAGAACAAACACTTTGGCTAAAGTGTACTCACCACTGCTGAATCTGTACAACTGGTATTGTATGTAAGCAATTATCTGTACAAAAAGAGGCGTACTCGGTTGCTGTGGTGCACTTCATTAAAGGCACAAGAACAAGGTGTGAAGATAAAATGGGTAACCTTCATGTGTATCCAGGAGACAAAGTCAATCTCTGAAGAACCAGTATATCACATTTAACTATGTTCCTCATTTTTACCATAAGTTACAAATAAAACTAGTAAGAATAGAAAAACAGTACCAGTTCCAAAATCTGGTGAAAAGAAGCAGCTGAAGCATGAATGAAAAACCAACTTGGACCAATTTTATCTAGTGGAATTGGAAAGTAAAAAAGTCAGGCAAATGCTCCATTCCTAGATGGCAGCTGGATCAAGTGCTTTACAATCATCTTGACACTGCAGAGGTGGAAATGTCTGGGGAGAAGTTGAGATAAGGCAACCTGTAGAAAGGGTAAAGAGGTCTGCAGCCTGTTTCCCTTAGTTTGGGGTCTTGACCCCTGTGCTCTTTCACCCCAGTCACTGTAATACAGTTCGTCCACAGCAAATTTGGCAGGTGATGCTTCAACCATCCTGTAATAAATGCACACGTGGTACAATCTGAAAGGAAAAACAAAGGTCAACTAGATGTCATCCAAGACCACTATGCACTAGTGACTAGTCAAAAGCAGTTCTCTCACCTTTTGGCCGTTACTCATCTTTCTTTAACTTTTCTTTTCGTGGCACAAATATTTTTCGGAAATAAGGCAATATAAACAGCAATGTAAAGAACAACACATGGCCTGCGAAATAAATAGACATGTACACCTGCAAAAGAGGATGAGGAAGTCAGTGTGCTGTTTCTTTCTCCAGCCAGTAAATAGAGGGGAAATAGAGAATCGGGCTCCTTTGGTACCTTAATCCACTTTTCCCAGGTAAAGAGGCAAAATGGTACTAGAGAATATCCCATGAACATCCAGTGAATAATTTGCTGAATCAGGTAGAAGAAGGGCCTCAGTATGATGTTTGAAGCCAAAGCAGACAGAAATGGACTGTCATTTACCAGTTTAATAGCCTGTAATTACAAAAAACCAAAACCATAATAAGCTTTACGCTTACAGTTGAACAAACAAAACATGGCTCTGTGCTGCTTACCCATTTTTTACTTTCCTTCCTCCCAGAAAAATCTCTTCAGTGAGCTTATTGCCATCTCACTCTAGCAGTAGTTGCTTCAACAATCATTTGGTATTTCAATAAATTATCACAAGTTGCCGATCAGCCTTGAACTGCTCAGCTTGAAATTGTCCTGGGTTCATCAAGAGACTGTTTCCCTAAGCCAATGTGTTGCAGCTGTCAACTACCTCAAAGAATGTAATCTGCATTTATTTATTTTCCTGCATGGATTTACATTTACTAATGCCTTCTGCACACTGAAATGCACAGACTTAACATTTTATTTAATTCTCTTAAGAAGAGTTCAACTTAACAACTTAGCATAAATGTGTCACTGAGGAAGCTCAAAAGCAACTTTCAATACTTGAAGAGTCTTTGCACATTGTGATAATTGCTGGATTCATCCATGTGCTAAACTGTCTGATTATTCTTATTTGTGCCCACGGATGCCTCAGCACAATTTTGTCAGTCAATCTATAATTCATTCATTTTAAAGTGGATCCAGATATTAAATATTATCTTAAGATAAGGCTTTAAAAGGTCCTCACCTGCCGCTCCACAATGACAATCAGGAACTCCATTTGGAAGCAAACTAGATACCCACAGTGTAGCCCATGCCAGAGGGACAGGAAAAGCAAAGATAAAGCTTGCGATAGTAACTTGTTCCCCAGGAATTTCAGACGTTTGTATATATAGCTAGGAATGGAAATGTAATACTGTCAGGGCAAGTGTCAACATTATTTTGTTTCTCCAGAAAAAAAACACTTAACAAAGACATCCAAGAAACTGCCAACATTTTATTCTTTAACTTCAGGCTGTCCAAAATAAAGGGCAAATGTTAAAATTTAGCAGTCTCTAGCTTTGAATGGTGTGAGAATACAAGATGCTTACTAAAACTTCCAAATATAAAAGGTCCTCAGTGGGAATACCAGAAATCAGGGATACTGTTTCAGTGCTCTGAATAGTTCCTTGCTCTTAGTCAAAATAATTCCTAGAATATTTTTTTTTTTTTGTGGAAGTGGGAGGAGACTTTAGCTGCATTTCTTTAATCATGGAACAAAACAACATACATTTAATTCTTACTCCCATTCTAGGCATTGATTAGCCCAATTCTCTTAGCCTCCAGCTGTATATTCTCTGCTTTTCGAGACAAACAGCAATCTTAGGAGGCTTAACATTTTTAGAGGACTACAAACCAATGGGTTAGGCAATGATGCAAGCGGGCAGAGTCATATGATTGAGTGAGTTTTTAAGTTTTCTCTGTTTTTGTGTTTGTGCATTATGTTGCTCAAATTCCCTGGGAGACCTGCAGCTGATTTTCTGCAGTAGTGGTCAAAAATACTGGGGAGCTGCAAATTGTTCATTCAGGCTTTGCACACAAAAACACCTAATCTCCCCAAACACAATCCTATCGTCCCATCCCATCCCTCTTGCTGTCCAGCTGACTCAAATGGTTCTGCAGAAAACAGCCAAGTTATGCTCACCGGGCTACCCAGTTGTTGGTGTTAGTATTGAAGGAGGCAATGGTTCCTGTAAAATAAGGAGTTGTCTCGAATGTCCAGATTTTCATGTTGGCACAAGCATCCCACTGTGGTACCTCCTTTTCATCCCTTCCATTGTAGCCTAGTCCAGTTAAGATGCAAACTCCTTCCTGGAATGAAAATAACATAGGATTATTAAGTTCTGCCAATTAGATATTATTCTATCTAACCTGATTAGAAAACATTCAGTCCTGGATTATGGGCTAGATGAAGAACAACAAGCTAAAATTAATTAGTAGCAAAGTGAGCTAGAGATGAGACTCTCCCTGAAAGAAGAGATCTCCAGCTTGATCTGGATTCACATGTGGCAGCTGTGGTGAGGAGCATAGATTTGAACAATTAAAGGAAACCCACTAGCTACAATGATTTTTGAAGTGGTCACATTCAGCTACTTTTCCCCACTTTAGTGACAGCTTGAACTATTATAACAGATTCTATGTGGGAGTAATCTTGAAAAGCGTCTGGATGATGTAAATTGGTACAAGATTTGCACTAAATCCAAACTGCTTCCTGGGTACAGGATTGATTTTTTTAAACTACTGAATATGTTAGATTAGCTAGAGCTGCCCTCAGCTGCCCGAGTAATAAAAGCCTAAATATCAGTTGGGAACTGTGTTTGCCTTTCACTCTCTCTCTATAAAGATGCATCTCTCGTGAGGGGCTTTGAAGATTAACAAATTTATGTTTTGTGGTTACTTGTTTTATTTATTTTTCTATTCAGTATATATATTGTTGTTTAGTAGCTGGGTTGGTCCTTTTCAAAACAAAGGTGACCCCAAATTAAGAAAGGAAATAAATTGGCCAACTTCCAGGCTTACCGTCACTAGCCAACAGGTAACGTACTTGTAAAGCATTATCTTGCCCCAGATCAATATATAAAAGCAGCGAAACCAGAAGGACAGTTTCTGCATTATAAGAGCACATTTGTAAAATAAGATTAGTGTCAGAAGCCAAAACATTTTTTGTATAAATACCTAGCATTAATTAAACATTTCCCAAGCTTATGGTATAAAAATATACTTCAATATCATAAACCGATCATAAAAGTATTTTATATTTAAAGACATTTTCAAATATTAAAATAAAATCATACAGTAAATACAAAAAAAAAATGTCCCCGCTTAAAAGCCAGAAGGAGCAAATTTATTTTTAATAGTCCAGCATTTAATCTTAGGTAAAAATAAGGCCAACCTCAGAACCTGAAATAGGGCACTTTCAGAAATAGCTTTCCTGGTCTCAAATTTTGGAACAGTATTAGCATACAAGAAAGCCATGGCAGGCAAAATGTGAACTATTAAGAAATTGTTAGGATGTGTAAATCAAAGCATTGAGTACATGCATTCCCACAGAGAACATCTGCGAATTTGACTCAGGTAACTCATGAAGTAGCTTTATTGTAGATAGTAGTGATACATAGGCACTGTTTTCCTTCATCAAAAGATACTACTTATAAAAAGTTGAACTTTCAAAACGTGTGTGTGTGTGTGTGTGTGTATAAAAGCAAATAGTGGGGGGGGAAAACAGTGGTAAAGAAAGATACTTGGTTGTTTTTCTGGTGCTGTTTTAGGAACAAGGGATACTGTTGCATTTGTATTAGCAGATGACTAAAAGCAAGCTATTCAATCTAATGCCCCTTAGATTGGTTGCATTTCAAATCTTATGTTGGTTTGAAATCCTGGAAATTTAAATTCAGCACATCTGAATGACACAAAATTGAAAAACAGTAGGTCAGAGAGCTTTATGCTGTTATTCAAAAGATGATCATTATAAAGTTTCTTGTGAGCTAAACTGTAATCCTAATGTAGCCAAACACTATTTTTATTCTTGATTTTATTCTCCTTAATATGAAGTTATAGAAGCCTTTAGCACTACTTA